TTTATATAACTATTATAGTTTTATTAAATACTTATATAATAAACAGTAAATTTACTTTACTAAATTTACATATAGTTACAAGAGTTTAATACATTAAACAATAAATTTATTTTACTAAATTTATATATAGTTATATATTAAATAACAAATTTATTTCACTAAATTTAATTATAGTTACAAGAGTTTAATTAAATATTTATACTTTAAATAAAAATTTTATTTTATTAACTAAAAAAAACTAGCAATATTCTTAGAGTATTTATCTATTTTATAATGCTAATTTTTTTTTTTTAAAAAAAAAAATTTACTAAGTTATAAGATATTATTATAAGTACTACTACTAAGCCTCCTGTCTATATTACTAGGAGGAGGAGTATATAGATAAGTCTTATTAATAATATTTTTTAGGTTAATTTTACTTTAGGAAGATTTTGCATCTAGAGACAGTTAGAATTTAGCAATAATTAATTCTAAATTAGTCCTAAATGCTACTTATAATATACTATAGCTTTTTTGCCTACCTTTAAGTAGCAGTACTAATTCTAAACTTAGCAGCCTTTCTGCTATTCTAGTAGTAAGTAAGAGCCTAACTATATATTATAATAGTTACACTTTATGCTTTATATAAAGCAAGTAGCAACCTATATAGTATTAATATTAAACTATTGTAAAATTCTATTAAAATCCAGCTAGAATTAATTATAATTTAATTATAAATTACTTACTTTACTATTCTCTTTATAAAGCACTTTAGGCTTAACTAATATCTAGTAATTTTAAGATAACTTTATAGGCATATAGAGATTTATATTTTTATTAAGTGCTAGTTTCTTTAAGTTTTAGTAGAACTCTATATATAAGTTAATTAGTATAGAGTTAAAATTTAATATAAATTAATTATTAATTAATATATAAACAGCTGCCTAGTTATTAGCAGAAGAGAAAGCACTAGCACTTAACTATAATACCTTTACTCTATATACTATAATAAGATATTTCTTTAATAAATAAGTTAAAGAAAAGTATATATTCTATAAAGTATTAATATTAAACCTAAATTAAATAATAATTAATTTTAATTAAATTCTAACTTATAATATAATATATATAGCTATCCTTTATATTTATATAGCAAAAAATCTTGCTAACTTTAATAATAAAATTACTCTATATATTAAATTTATAATTAGAGAGACTAGGCTAATGCCTGCCTCCCTCTCTACTTATATACTACTAAAATGCTTTCTAGTTTAGAATTTAATTAGAGTTAATTCTAAGTGTATTTAGAATAAATTCTAAAGGGAATACTTATAAATTCTCTATAATATAATATTATTTTAATAGTATAGCCTTAGTCTAATAAGAGAGCAAGGTATAGAGGAAAAAAAAAATTTTAGAAGAGAGCTGCAGCTAATACATTAAAATTTCTAGACCTACTTCTTGTAAATATTCTATATAATTTAATTACATTCTATAATAATTTTCTGCCTAATTAGAACTTATTTTGCTCTATCTTTCACTCTACTAAGAATAGATTCCTTAAAGAAAATTCAACTAATTAAAATCTATTATGCCCCCTTGTCCCCCTATAGCAATAGTCAGGTCAGGTCAACTATAGTGGTCAGGTCAGCTCAGGTAGGCGAGCAATGGTCGGGTCATCTACACTCTCGGGGACACACAAATCTCCCGACCTCGCTTCTTGCTGTCGTGCAACTCGAGGAAGATGCGTAGCACGTAGCAGCAGCAGCAGCAGCAGCTCGCAAATACATAGGTGTCGACGTCAGAAATGCAAGAACGTAGGGCGAGGCGTCCAAGAAGAAAAGGGCAAGTTCCAACGTACTACAAAAAATACACAGTACGGAGTAGTCCGTCCGTATCCGTACCCGTACTCCGTACCTGGAGGCGCCAATGAATTGTGAATAGCGTGGCGTGGCGTGGCGTGGCGTGCCGAGGTGTGGTGCCAGGAGGGGGTGGACGGGTGCGTCTCAGCTCTTTTCATCTCATTCGGCCTTGTTTTCTTTTCTTTTCTTTTAGCTTCGTTTCTTTTTTGTCGTGAAGAAGCAATGCCCAACGACGCCGACGCGGGCGACGCGGGCAGGTTGCGGATGTACCGAGTACCTGGGCAGGTACGGAGTACGCAGTCAGTTGCTCTTTCGCATATCGGTGTTCGACGCCGGCCACGTGCAAAATGCAAGGCTAGAATTCATAGCGACGAAGACGACAGGAGGAGCATCGCTTTCATCTGCCATCTTGCTCGGTCGGTTCTCCTCGCAAGCTTCCAGAATCCAGATGGCCGAGCCGTGGCAACGACGTGGACGTGGCAGGGCCCTTGATGTCTGCTACACGCCGTCCACGATGCAGCCGTTGAAAAGATGTCCCGCATTATGATTTATGCGTGCCTGCTCACGTAATGAGTAGCCATGTATGTAGCCCAAGTCTACAGCATTGCTACTCCGTACTCCGTAGCTGGCGCCCATTTAGTTGTCCAGTTACCACTGTGACCATGGTTGCATCGGCAGAGGTGCCGGCATCTACGAGCTTGTCCTTGTCAGCTTCATTGACTGGAGCCCGTCCGTCGGGGGGTCGGTTGCGGCCGACCTGCATCTTCATGCGTCAGACCCAACTCCGTACTTTGTGCCAAGTAAGTTATTGCGTGCATTCATTGCGTGCGTTGTACATGCTCGAGTACGTACGTTACGTACAATCAACCAGCAGCACGGAGCACCAAGGCTTTGGTCGACGGACTCGAGGAAGTACGTTACTCCGTAATACTTCCCGACTTGCCAATGACAAATAGCCGGCAAAGACTCGGCTCAGTCGGTAACTGGTGACAGAACACAATTGGCGGCCCCATTTTCCATTTTGCCTTTGGCCTAGTTATATTTTTTTTTGTTGCGGACTTCTCTAGCTTTTAGTGCTAACCTATTTCTCTATTTTTTTTTTCCCTTTCTTTCCTTCTCTCTTTCTTTTTTTTGGGGGGGGCTTTCTTTTTCCTTTTTTTCTTTTTTCCCTCCGTCTTCCCATTCCTATGTAGCCCGCCATATTCGGCAACGCCACCTTACCCTACAACATACAGGCAAACGAACAAGGGACCAATAAAATACACACCCAGGAAAAAGGGCAATATGATCGTCACAACGACAAATGATCATATGAATGGGCGTGGGGCGACTCCTCACCTTAATAGAGCCCAAGAGTTGGACCAAGTACGTATCATGATTCCGCTGTGCAAGACTTTGCGTGCTGCATATTCCGAACGGCATCGTGTCGTTTTGCTGACGTCAACTGCATCAGCTTCTTTTGGCCGTGCGCGGCTTGATTCTGCCATTTGTCAAAGCCGCCGACGATGCCGCAGCTCATCGGGAATCGGGCCGGCTTCCGCTCGACGCCAACGGCACACCTCAGAGCGTCTTGGTGGACGCCATCGAGCCTCACATCCTTGCCGCACGTCTCAAATTCCTGTTGCCCGACAAAGCCCAGGGCAAGGAGGGTCTGTTGGAAGCCATCGCAAAGGTGCTGAGGTACAGCGTCAATACCTGGGATCAGGGTTTCCTTGATAAACTGTACTCAAGCAACAACCCTGTATGCTACGCCGCCTCAGCCCCCCCCCATGCCAAGCGAAGAGGCAGGATTGTACATGAGTACATGACGTGACATGTTCTGACGTGCGGAAATCCAGGTTGGCGTGGTTTCAGACGTCGTCTTGTCCGTTCTCAACACAAATGTTCGTCACAGCGCAAGACCCAGTAAAGTCAGTCAGCCTTTTCCCTGCTAACTCGGCTTCTGTGCAGCTGCATGTGTACCAAGTCTCGCCGGCACTTACCATCGTTGAAAAGACGACGGGGCGCGCATTGGCCAACAAGTTTGGCCTCACGGGCCCGAGGGCTGGTGGCGTAACCTGTCAAGGCGGCAGTTCTTCAAATCTCACCTCCCTGGTCGTTGCACGAAACACCTTGTACCCGGACTGCAAGACCGAGGGCGACGCCAAGTACGACTTTGTTGTCTTCACGAGCGCCCATGGCCACTATTCTGTGGAAAAGAGCGCCATGATCTGCGGCATGGGCTCATCCAACGTGTGGAAGGTGCCTGTCGATGATGGTGGAAGCATGAAGACGGATGCCCTCCGCGAGCTGGTCATTCGAGCCAAGGAGCAAGGGAAGACGCCTCTCTACGTCAACACCACTGCGGGCTCTACAGTCCGAGGCTCCTTCGACCCGTTTGAAGACATTGCCAAAGTATGCAAAGAATTCCGTCTTTGGATGCACATTGATGCTAGCTGGGGCGGGCCAGTTGTCTTTTCCGCCCGGCAGAGGTGCAAGCTCAAGGGTTCTCATCTCGCCGATTCCATCACCATCAACCCCCACAAGATGCTGAATGCCCCCACGACGTGTTCCTTCTTGCTGGGTCCAGACATGAGCATATTCAACAGGGCAAACACCACAGACGCCGGATATCTTTTCCACGGAAACACGGAGGACGACTTCTGGGACCTCGCGGATTTGACATTGCAGTGCGGCCGCCGCGGCGACAGCCTGAAGCTTGCGCTTGCATGGCTTTATTACGGCGCCAGCGGCTTCGAAAGGCAGGTCGATGACGCATTCCACATGGCGTCATACCTGTGGAAATTGGTTCAACAGACGGGGAACTTTGCCATGGTGTCGGAAAACCCACCTCCGTGCCTCCAAGTGTGCTTCTATCATGCACCCAACGGCCAATTGTCGAGCGATGCAGCCACCAACACCAATCGCACCCGGGTTCTTGTCGAGAAACTGATTGGCAGGGGTTTCATGGTGGATTATGCTCCTGGTGATGTGGGGAGTTTCCTAAGAATTGTCGTCAATGTCCAAACTCTGCCAAGCACTGTCGAGGGATTGACGAGGGCTTTGGATGAGGCTGGAAAGGAATTGGCTTAGATGTACATGATGTGAGCAGCTCGAACCCAGCGTTTCAGTTTGTCACCAACCGACGGTGACGAGTGGAAAGGTCAAGACCTGTCCGAGCCTGCTTGGATGTAACGATGCATATAGACGATGCGAGCACCTTCCATTTCTCATAGACTAGCAAATAGATTTTGACGCAAACCTGCGAATAAAAGTGATCGAGGCAGTTCCTCGGTCGGTCCTGGTGGGGTCAATTCGGGACGTCTGCTGAGGGCGAGCTGCGGTGCTAGCGTCCTTATCGATTGCCGTCGGAACAAGCTTGGCCGTGGAAGAAAAAAAAAAAGAGTCGTTCGGCATCTCCATTCAAACCTCACGCCCCCACGGGCCACTACTCGCACAGTCACTTTCACCTTCAACCACCATACGCTTGCTTTGTGCTCAAACAAAATGCCGAAGCCACGGACAAAGCGAGGTGCCGACCGTGAAGAGCGGAAGCGCAAGAGAAGAGGCGAAGGAGAAGCCAACGATGCCAATCACGAGAAGAAACGCCAGCGCACCGACGACGAATCGCACCAAGGCGACCATCAGGACTACTCAACCCAAGAGTACCCAGAGTACCAACAACCACAACCTGGTCCTGGGGCTACCGAGTTCTTCGGCATGCTGGCTGACGAAGAACAAGAATACTTCAGGCGGGCCGACGAAATGCTCGAATTGAACCAGTTCCCTACCGCGGAGGACCGAGACTTGTTCCTAGAGAGCGTGTTCAAGGAAATACAGGGCAAGGAGCTCAAGGTCGCAAGCAGCCAGTCGTGCTCGCGGCTGATGGAGCGCCTCATCCAACTGTCAAGCACCACGCAGAAGAAAAACATGTTCAATGCCTTCGGCGGCCATTTCCTGTCCCTGGTGCAGCACCGATTCGCCAGCCACTGCTGCGAGACGCTCTTCCTACGATCCGCGGGTGTCGTGACGCAGGAGCTTGCTGGCTTCACCATGGACACCAAAGGCGCCAGCGCCAACCAACACCAGCCCGAAGCATCCATGGAGGAGCTGTTCCTGGCGACGCTAGATGAATTGGAAGGAAACCTGAATTTTCTCATCATCGATCGCTTTGCGTCACACACTATGCGGGTTCTGCTCCTGGTGCTATCGGGTCGGCCCCTGGACGATGTCTCGGTCAAGACACTCATGAAGAGCAAGAAGAAGGAGAACATCTCAGTTGCTGGCTCGGCGGCAGCCAATGAACAAAACAAGGGGCTCCGGGCTGTGCCAGGCTCGTTTGCGCTCGCAGTGCAGAAGATCATAGCCGACTCGACGGCCGGGCTCGATTCTACGGGTCTCCGTGTCCTCGCAAGGCACCCTGTTGGTAACCCAACGCTGCAGCTCCTCCTCGAGCTGGACATGACCTTCAACAAGACGGACACGAAGTCGTTGGAGCCGTCAGAGTCGGAGCTCCGGTCCGCACCGCCCACTCTCCTCCAACTCCTCCTCCCCGGCGCCCCAAAATCCCTCTCCGACCCGGCCTCGGAAGCATCCGAGTTCATCAACGGCATGATCTACGACCAAATCGGCTCCCGCCTCCTCGAGACCCTCGTCGCCCACTGTCCCGGCAAGATCTTCAAACAGCTCAACCACAACTTCTTCCTGCCCCGGATAGAGGGCTATGTGCGCAACGACATCAGCTGCTATCCCGCCATAAAGGTGCTCAACCGCATCGGCAAGGATGATCTCGTCACGGCCGCAGACAAGATCGCCCCCACGGTACCACAACTCGTTTCCAAAACAAGATACAACGTACTCCGGGCCCTCTTCGAACGCTGCTCCGCGCGCGGCATCAACGACCGAGTCAAGAAACTCACGAGGGGCCTGAAGGAAGGCTGCGGCTCCCAGCCCGCCGACCTGGTCACCACCCTCTGCCACCTCTCAGAACCTGCCAAACCAAAGGACGAGGTCACCCGAGCGGAATACGCCGTGCAGTCCCACGGCGCAAACCTGCTCACCAGTCTCCTGTCCATCCCAGGGCCCCTCAAAGCCGTCCACGAGTCCATCCTCGCCCTCCCGGCTCCCCAGCTCGTGCGCCTCGCCACAACCTCCATGCCAACCGTCACGCTCCTCACAACGGCCCTCTCGACGCCCTCCCAAAACTCCGTGTTCCAGAAATCCCTCGTGGCCACCCTCTCCCCCCACACCGCCGAGCTGTCCACCTCCCAATTCGGCCACAACCTCATCAACGCCATCGCCGAGGTCCCCAGCAAAGGCAAAGACCTGAGCATTCCCTTGCACGTCAAGGAATCCACCATGCAGCGCCTCGAAGCCCAGGAAACCGAGCTGCGGGCGACCTGGATGGGCAGAAGCGTATGGCGTACCTGGAAGGGCGACATGTGGAAGACAAGAAGGGGCGACTGGAAGACGTGGATGAGGGATATTGACGCCCGGGCCGCGCAGCCCGCCGCCCTCACAGACGCCCGCGGCGAGGGGCCCATGCTCGACCCTACACCGAAGCACACGAAGAAGGCGCGAGGATGAGGCGTGTAAAGGCAGCCCTTTGACTACGTACGCACCCGTCCGTCCTGGTTGGCGTCGCACAAAAGCATGGGAGTGGGCGAATCCATTGCGTTGACCACCAACGGCGAGTCACCGCGAGGCCACGGGCGACTTGCATCTCGCCCGGCGTGGCGTGGCGTCCGCCAGCACGCCAGACTTGTGCAGGGACTTGCCGCGCCCGGTAGAGAGCCCTCGCAGACTGTGTGGCTCGGTTCGGTTCGATTCGAGCACACGACGGCAGGTTCGACGATGAAGTTGTTGCGCTCGGTGGCGTTGTGGCCGTGCCCGTTCCGAGCGTTGGCTCTTCCCTACGCTCCGTCTAGTTAGTGACTTGTCGTATGTCGAGGTTTCCAGAGGGAAAGAGGGAAATATAGCAAACACATCAAGCTTTTGTCATGCAGAGCACGTATTTTAGCCACGATTATGTATAAATATTTAGCCCAAGACACAAATCCAAGATACTGGAGAGACTACATACATCACTGGAGAGACTACATCAGTGAGATCCTTTTAGACCACAAATCGTATAGCCGCCTAGAGACGAGACCACGAATGGGCCATTATTTACTACAAGCAGTCCTGCGTCTAACTACTTGTCCATCAACTACCATGTACAATGTGCGCAGGGCCTTCGAGACGCACCTGCAGATTGATTGGAAGAAAATTGGCAGTCTCCTTAACCCAGGAGATGCCCAAAAACGCCCAAAAGCCGTCAAGGGACATGACGGGAACCAAGTCCAGCTTGTCCAGTCCAGTAGCAAGGGTTAGACAAAGCCCACCGCTCGCTGCACAGACCAACCCAAAAGGAATGGGCGAATCAAAGGAAAAGCAAAGACGAAATAAAAGTCATCAGCATGATTCTTGACCAAGCCGCCTCCAGCCGATGTGATTATGCCGCTATCAAAAGCTAGAGATTTTTAGTTTTTTTTTTTTTGAAGGTTTATTATTATTATTATTTTTTTCCTAATGCAATCGCCAAGAGTTCCCTTCCTTTAGACAGTTGAAAGAGGCCTGGGTATCGTCATATTATTGTTATGCAACAAAAGGCCACGTATCTCAGATACATCGCAGTGGCGCGTCTCGTGAGGATTACTGGTTTTGATCCGTGGTCCAAATGTTTTCGTTGATGAATGCACTCCAGGACTCATCGTCAGTGGGCGTAGGCATGGCACACTTGGACGCCATGTGGTCCGTCGGGCCAGCCCCGTAGAGATTTGGCACCAACCCAGGATCCAGCACCCCCATCTGAGGGCCTCGCGGCAGGCTCGACGGGTCGCACAAGGCGGACGGATCCATCCATTGCTGGGCAAAGTCGCCGTGACCGTGGAACAGTTCTTGGCTGGCCAGCGTCTGGCACAAGACATCGTCAGCACCAACCCCGTCCAAAATCATACGCGCCTCTGCAGGCAGCTCTGTCGTAAACGCAGACGCGTCAGCAGGGACCGCGGTTGGCTCAAACGAGTCACTGGGTGTATCCGCAGCCAAGTTGCCGTCTAGACTGGGGGTGGTCGCTGTGGTGGGCGTCGCTGGGAGCGACAGCTTTGCCCTTCTCCCCGGCGCAGGTGGTGACTTGTGTCCACCACATCGTCGTTTTCCATTTGGCGATGCAGATGCTCGCGAACGCCTCCGGTTGCCGTTTCTTGGATTCGGGTATGAGAGCGTTGATACAAAGGGAAGCGAAGACTGCGGCAGCGGCCCCGGCCCGGTCGTCGGCGGCGCCGAGGGCATCGAAGGCTGCGCGCCTGGGGAGAAGGGCGCGGGCGAGTACGCCGGAGAGTAGTTTGTGGGAGAGTAGCCCGAAGGGGAGTAAGCTGCCGGAGAGTAGCATTCAGGATGTTGATGCATGACTTGGTTGGGCATGTTGGCGGGCGGCGGGCAACCTGGAGGCTGAGGGACATGCTGTTGTTGTGGCAGAGCCATCTGAGGCATGGCGTGCGGGAAGGACTCGGCAAATGCCCGATTGATATCATTACTTCGCCAAGCCATGTTGGACTGAGCGAGCGCATGAGAAAACGCCACCTTGTTTGCGAGATAGCTCTCAAGCCTGGCGTTCATGTCGGCAGACGGCGTCTGCATGTGGGCGGTGAGAAGATGAATGGAGCGTGGCAAATCATCATCTTCTTCTTCGTACATTTCCTCCCTGATGACGATTTCCTCGGTGATTTTGAAGCCCTTGCCGGTGCGCTTCTTGTGGATTTCACTTGCCTGGCGTGCTGACTGGACTCGAGCCTCGATGCTTCTATCCGCTCTCCGCGACGCGGCAATGTACGCACGCTCTTGGTTCTCCTCATGAGAGCGTTCGGTCTGCGCAACACGTTAGCTGGTGGTGAGGGCAAAGACCAGACACTAGACGAGTCTGGTCCGAGAAGCGAGCGTGGCAAAAGCAAGAGGCCTTTAGCCTGCCGCACGGCGTCACACAACAAAACGCACCTTGCGAGCCCCAATATCAAGCATTATCGATTCGTTTGACTTTCCCACGTATATTGATTTATTGGGCATGGCGAGTGTAGCAGGCAGGTCTAAACGCCTTGCTCAGGGTTCGAGGCGGTCCTTTATATAGATCTATGACACAAGGCTGGCACAGTGACCAGATGCCACCTGCACGCGGGGAGAACAAGGTTTGGGGCTTGCGGATGGCACACGCAGGCAACAAGAGGGACGGATTTGAATCGCGATGCAGCGTCGCATAGGACAGGCTGTTTCAAAGTCGAGTATTCGGCGGCAATCTTGCCCGACACCAACGCCAATCACACACGGCGTGGATTCAAAGAGAACGGCCGACGGGGGAACAATGGAAACGAGAGAAATAGACTACTTTGTATGGCCTCGGATTCCGCCCCGGCCTCGTCTTTGTTTTCGAACAAGACGGCTTGGTAGCGCCTCGGCGAAGGGAGCTCTGGAAGCTCAAGCTTTGTGTCGGGTGGCGTCTGGCAGAAGGGCGGGCGTGCGGAAGCTGTCGGTCTGAGCTCTTGAAGAAGCCAGGCCAGTGCTACCCGGGTGTGCGGTGAGCTGTTCCTCTTTGGCCGTAGCCTGCGAGCCGAGTCGGAAAAGAGGGACACCACGGTTGCATGCGCTGATGGCTCGATGCTGCTGCGGTCCTCGTTCAGAGTCGACTTGTCCGAGGTCAGGAGCTTGGAGGGGGAAAAGGTTTGGGTAGTTTGGCTTGACTAGTCCCGCGATGAGGATGGTGGACGGAGTATGAGGACGAAGTGTTCCAGAAGAAGCTGGACGAGCACTGGGCAGGAGAATAAGATTCACCGGACTGGAGCGGGTCACGGTCGAAGTCGCAGTCGCAGTCGCGGTCAAAAGCCTCGGGCGAGGGAGGCGGAGGAGGCGCGGGAGGAGCGCACCACGATTTTATACAAAGTTGACGGCACCAGAGTCTCTCCTCTCCTCTCCTCTGTCCGCCACTGCCACTGCCGCCGCCGCCGCCGCCGCGGTTGCGGTTGCGGCTTCGCCATGGGCCACGGCATTGCAATTGGCATTGCTCTGGCATGGACATTGACGTCGCTTCGGCACCATGGGCTTGTTTCGGCCAGGAATATGGCGTGTGGCTTGCGGCCAGACGGTTGGACGGGCGTGGAGGCGTGCCTGTTTCGATCCATGGGGAATCGAAGCTCCTATGATCGGGAATTGCGTGAGGAGATCGATCTCGAGACGTGCCCACAATTCGACTTGATGCAAGCCTGGCCGACGCAAACTTGGCACCAGCCGGTGGCTTGCCTGCTTGCTCGCTAGCGTGCACCACTCCAATCCAATCCAATGGGTCTGCGGTTGTGCGCTTCTCTTCTCTTTGTCCTGTGCATGCCCGGTTTTAACTTTTCTAAATCTTCCGGGCCCCACTTGAAAGTGCAGTGTGAATTGAGAGGTAGTAGCTACCTAAGTTACTCCGTACTCCGTACTCCGGACCACTTTCACTCTCCATGTCGACTGGTCTCCGTCTCCACCAGTCCACTTTGGGAGAGCTTTCGGTCAGACGAGGCCGCCTCCTCTTCCTGCTCCCTTGACCGTGTCCGCTGCTGAGCTGGGAGCTGGGAGCTGGGAGCTGGGAGCCGCGAGCCGCGAGCCGTCGCAGGCATCGCTTCTGCTGCAGTTCATACCGCCAGGAGCAGATCCTGGGCAAGTTGGCACGCAAAACCCCGCACTGGCCCGTGACTGGCAAAACAACTCGCTCAGTTTTGGGGCTGAGCATTCTGCAGTCCGATGCGGTGGAGGGTTAGGGTTAGCATCATCTCCCGTGCTTCTGCCATGCCTTGGACCGACGATCAGACATGAAGCTGGCGATGGCCAGTTTGCAAAGTACCTAGGCACTTGTACTTGCCCAGCTGCCTGGGTACGGACGTGCCTGGGTACTTGTGTACGTTGCCAGGCAGGGGTGATGAGGCAAGGCAGGGTACCGTTCAATGCTAGGACTTTGATCGAGATGCGGAACGCCCTTGGAATGGATTTTAGCCATGTTTCTCTTACTTTTTCTGCGCCCAATACGCTTCGTTTGTATTGAAGATCATGACACGACACTGACCCTGCCCGGCCCGGCGCCTGCCAACTTGCCATGGATTGTGAGCGTGAGTGTCTCTTTCCAAGATTTTGGGCGAGCAGAGAGCAGGTACCGAGGTACTTGACACGCGCGGCTCCCGTCTCAAGATCAACGCAGCGTTGTGGAGTGCAGGGCTGGTAAACTATTGTGGAGGAACAAAATGATAATTTACTGGTAGCAAAGTCTAATAAGCTGTTGCGCGGTTCTGTTATAGCTGATCGAGGCTGGGGACGGTCACTAGAACGAACACCTACTAAAGTAGGTACGTTCCTAGTAGGCACCAAGGTACGCGCTACTTGCTACCCTCCTTCCTTCCTTCCCCGTGTAGCCTGGTGATGGTCACAGCCCGTTCCTTCCATGTACGAACCGCGAACAGCGAGCTTGTCCACTCTGTCACGTTCCATGTTCAGTGTTGGGCGTGCAACATGGGCATCAACACCCGCATCAGCATTGGCATCGGCATCAAAATGACCGGAGCTCATACCAAGTGGAGGGAAACCTGTCACCTGCACAAAGATACCCACGGCCATTCTCCTCCGCTTGGTTTTGTCTGCGGTCTGCTTTCAATTAGACAATCGTCCTGCTACGCACCGCGCATCCCTGCATCGGCCCCAGCCCTTCGGGTCCTGCAGACTCCAAGAATGGCCCCGCGAAATCAGCCACATGGCTCGCGAGCCATCACCTCGTTTATGCTGTGGCGCAAAGCGGCAGGCGACTGCGGAGGAAATAGTCCGGACCATTTGCCCCGGCGACTCTTCTCCGCTCTGCACTCAAATCCAGCCAAACCTCATGAGACGGCGATCAAGCAGCTTTGGGACCACTCGGCCGTCGTATTCGACGAAACCTGTACATGTGTTCAATGTCCCGTCTTGCCTGGTCTCAACAGTGCCTCGCCGGCCATTGGTTCTACGACACGACCGGTCTGACATTTTCGTGCGCACCTTGAATTTACTGTCGGGTACTCCGTCCATAACACTCACCCTCACACTCACGCAATTTTCCATCGTTTTTTCTTTTGACTTGGCTTTTTATTTTATTTTTAAAATTACCTTTGCCCCACGCATTGTCTGGCACAATAGGTCTGCCAGCAAAATGAAAGCTCGACAGAGTTACCACCACGGTCCACCCCAGCCATCCCAATCTGTGCCATCTTCCGAAGATCTTAGGAGTACTAAATCCTCCCAAGGTTGCGGACAAGCTCCTATTCGATACAGTAATGGCGAGGAGGTGCAGAATGGCCATCAAGATTCTCCCGGCCATCGGGCATTTCTCGTGGCCGTCGCCCGTTAGCTGCCACTCTGGAGCGAATACTCCTTCCCATCCCCCTTCGGGCTGCAACCCTGTCGCGCCGTTTCACCGTTCACAACATGCAAAACTTGCCGGCTTATGATGTACTAATCAATAAATTCGTACAGATTTTGAATCTCGATTGGGTTCTTCGCGATTAAGGCTCGATTCAAATCCACGGTGCTAAGCCCCCCTTTGCATTTTTTTCCTCGGCCCATGCACCTATTGCGGTCTTACTGTACTCAGTACGGAGTAGTGCAGTAAATTATCTTGTCCCTCGCTGGTTACACGACCCAGCCACTCGCGAAACGCTTCTGGAACTTGGGTACCAAGACACTTCTGCGGAGAAGTTGGACGAGCCACAGTCCCTCCGGCCTATTGCCATTCATTTCCTGGTCGGCGCCGATCAACGAGACCAGTGGCGTACGGCTGAAGCCAGCATTTTGCTACCATTTCACATTCCCATACCGGTCCGCCTCGCGTTTCTGAGGGATTTCGATGCCGCCCCTTGTGGTCAAAACCTTGGCGTGAGCAGAACTCGCGTCCAGTACCGAGTGGATAGACGACAGAAGGAAAACGCCATACTGAGCCACGTCACGGAGTATTCTGCAACGAATTTCTCATCAAAATACCTCAAGCTAGCGAGCTGGCCCTCAACGCGACCAGTTCCCTGATGTCCCCAAAATACCTGGCGCCTCCGTCGATTTTGGCAGTAACAATCAAGCCCTACCGACGACGATGCAGGGTCAGGGCCACGAACATGCTCGCCTCCCTCGGTGGCAGACGCAAGCTGTGTGCAAAACTGACATCACATCTCCAGCCACTGGTTCCGTGTGGTGGGGTCCTTTCCGCTCACGCATCCCCAGCTCTCCCACCACATGCATATCCATGTCCAGGTATAACACCCGATTGGGCACACCACGTCCCGATCATCAGAGTGGCGAGAACCCGTTGGCCAAGCTGTCAAAGTGCAAACCGCCCCATTCAGCGATCCCAATGCCCGCAGGAATGGAGCTTTCAATCTTCTCTTCAAATCAATAGTGCGGTTTGTCCGTCTCCTCCTCAGACGGAGATACAAAGTACCATCCAGATCAAACCCGCGCCTCTTCGCCGTCCGTCTCCCAACAGCGACGACACGTTGGACTGAGCCCTTCGTGTTACTACTGCCGATGAATTGACGTCATTTCCAGCTTGCCCACTTTACACATCGGCACTTACATCACGTTCCCGTCACGATCCACGTCAGCCTTCCGCAGTTTCAAGACTCGACGTCCATTTTTCCTGGGTGCTGTGCCTTGTTTCCACGAATGACGCACATTCTAAATTCACAGCATGGAGAGAGAGATGAAATTTGTCATCGAACTGGGTAAGGGTTACGGACATGACTTTCTCAGAAACCGATTCCCTCTGAACACCACTCACTCATCTACCCCTGTTCTTGCTAAAGTTTTCAATTCAACAATTGTAACAACTCCTTGGGGCTAAACAGATCGAAGGCACATTCCACTCTTTTGGTTTCTCACAAAGGCAAGCACGACTCTGTATGAGACACCGCAAGAGCGTGTCATACGAATTACACCATCTTTGCATATTCACAATCCAGCTCAACGCCGTGATTTCGTAACCTTTTGCACAGCTACACACTCAGAAGAATTTACTCTTGATACTACCCATGACCAAATTCCGCTTTTGTTGATTCATGAACTTGGTAACATCATCTGCCCACCCCTGACTCTGCTGCTGCAGCGAGTCCATACCCTCATTTACGACACCCAACCTTTCCGTCCGCTCATTCACCTGGCGGGACAGATATGCCGTCCAGCTTTCTTGGTTCGCTGTTCCAGCGGCACCAGCACGTTTCTCCGCCGCGGCAGCATCCAACATTCTCTGGCTTGGTGGTCTGTCTGGTCCACCGACAAGGAGATCCAGGTCCAAGGGTGAGACATATTGCGTCCCAGAGATCCATTGCATGTTGGAAATCGTCGGCCGTGGAGGGCATCGTAATTCCGGGTTGATCAAAATATCCGGTGATTGTTGGAGCGACTTTCCCGTGCCCCAGACATGGATTACCGTCATTTCGCTGGGGCCTGTCCAGCCAAAGATATCGCCCGTTTGTGCTACGAACGCAGGCTTGCTTGTGTCAATCATGGAAAGCCGTGACTTTCCGAGGTCCTTTAGTCCCGGGATGGAGTATGCTCGTGCAGTTTGATCGTCAAAGAGAGCTACGACGGCGAAGCCCTGGAGCTCGAGTTCCGCAACAGAAGCTGCGTGACACACGACATGATCAAAGTCCCGTGATGCGCCTCTTGAACTGGCAGGTCTAAACACCCTCATCTCGTTTTGAGTAACTGTATAATCATGTCAGGCATGTCAGGCATGTATTTCTGGCGCCAAGAGCGCTGTCTCCTTACCGGCTACCAGAGCACCATCCACTCGCTTGCCCTCCCTCAATGAGCCAACGATGGCAGCAGTTGCCGAAGCTGGCTTTCCCGTCTGGGCATTGATAGGAGACAGGGAAACGACGGGTCCGTCAAAGACAACGGCACCAGCTAGTTGAGCTGTGTAGGCGCCGCCTGCGGCGGGGAGTAGCTTGAACGTAATGACCTTGCCCAGATTAGTTCCGACAAAGCAGCAGATGCTTGAATACTTATCCTCGTCCAACGTCAGTACTCCAAACTCAATGACGACAGGCCATTCTTTCTCTGGTCCGGTTTTTGCCTGCTGCTGGTGGTCGCGTTTGAAGAGTGAGCTCCTCTTCTCCTGCTTAGCAAAGTCCGTCATGGGCGCCTGGTAGAAGATCCGAGGGCCACGGAGATCTATAAGCGTCAAGAAGCCCAGTTCTGATCCGACGGCCATGAATCCAACGTTAGACACTCGGATGGCGGTAATGGGCCCCTGCATCATTTCGTACAGAATGCATGGCTGAAGCCCCTCCTTCAAAGTCGGCTCGGCGCGAGAGCTGATATCGGTGAGCCCTTTCGGATTAGGGTCCAGTTGTTTTGGGCTGTCACGTCCGTAGAATCGGTTTCCTCCCCATCTGTAAACAATGGCCTCCCCTGTACGCGTGCCAATTGCAAATTCGCCGGTGGCGCCAGACATGTTCATTGCGGTAATGTCAATATCATCACACCGGTCCAAAGAGCGGGCCACGTCAATCTGCAGTTGACGGTCGTTCTCGATTTCATCTGCATGACCAGAGTCCCAAATACGGATAGTGCTATCCCCATGTGCTGCTTGAATGATTGTTCTCTCCTCGAATCGCTTCTTCGGTCTTGGTCCTTTGGCACCACCGGTGAGCAGCAGTTCGCCTTGGTCTCGCTTCTCTTCCATAGTCAGCCATCGGGGACGCTCCAAGCTCGACACGTTGACCTTTGTCACGAAAGGGTGGACGAAGAAGGTGGACGGGTGGAGTTGGTTCGTGGGGCTGATTTGATGTCCTGATGGGAAGTTCAAAGTGATGAGCTCCCCAGATGACACCAGGGCAATAATGGCAATGGGGTCCTGAGCTCCAGAAAAGTGAGGGGATGAACGAGGGATGAGGAGAAAGTCCACGGCGTGTGCGCCAGGCGGCAGTGGCAGAGAAATTTGGCGCTTTCCTTTGAAGTAGTCTGCGAGGATCTGCCATGACGACGTTGCATACATGGGCGTTATGCCTAGTTCGATAAATGTGAGGTTCTTGTCACCGCCAGCGATGAGCAGTCCAGTGTCGTCGCAATTGTCCTTGCAACACCAGGCGATTTTGGCGTATGGCTCGGAGAATGAGGGAGAAATGGAGTTGGGCGCGGGCTTCTCGACACCGGTGTCATGCAGATTCCTGGCGGTAATCACTCTCTGTTCTCTGTAGTCCCACAAGACCAAGCTGCCGTCGTCGTGTGCTGTGACAACAAACGTACCAGACGGATGCCACAGGGCATGTGTCAGTCGAGGCCGGCGCATGGTGTCTACCCCGACAGCATTTCCGCCGGGGGCACCGGGCGGGAGCGTGTACTCGAGAAAGTTTATCGGCTTGTTTTGTTTGAACGAGTAGATGACGGCGCCGTGGGAATATCCAATCATCAATTTGCCGACATCCCGAGGATGCATCGACAGGCATACCAGTGTGGCTGCCCTTGCAGCAGGGTCTCTCTGGAGCCAAAAGTTGGGGAGCATGAAGGACCTCGCCATAGTTCGCCTGTCAAGGTCATATGCCAGGACCTGGCCGTTTTGCAAACCAATAAAGGCCCAGTCCAGCATGGGATCGGTCAGCAAGGCGGCGGCCGAGCCCGCAATGACTTGGGCCGCCACGCGAGCGCCCGTGTCCAAGTCCCAGACTCCGAGCTCGTTCTTGCCGTCCAAACTGACGAGCTTGTCGGCACTGAACTGCACATGGTGGAAAGAGGTGGCGCGGGGAGGCTGCAGGATCTTTTGAACTCGACGTTGGCCAAAGACGTATATCTTGCCGGGGCCGAAGCGGGTTTCGTGGGTGCCGATGGCGAGGAGCGACTGAACGGGATCATAGCCGAGGCATCTGCGGCGATTCGAGAACAAGAGAGTCAGCGGACCGGGGGGCTCAGGGTCACGGCGCGGAGGAAAGGGCCGGAGGTGGTATGAGGACGGCGACGCACCCGATCTGGCTGTTTATGCCGTAGCGAGCCTGTTCATCTGGCATGAACAAGTCGGGGCGGATGCTCGCAGACAAATCATTCTGTACACCGGCCTGCTTGCTACGCAAAAAGCTGGACATGATGACTGGACGGCGTCTCTGGTTGGGGCAGAGGCGGGAGCATAGTTTGATCCGTCCGTCGTGGGTTCAGGCGATTGTAGGCTTCCCAGGTTGATGATGACGACGATGGCGGGGGGTCCCTAATAAAGCTGGGCGGTGCACGCACACGCACAGCCAGACACACGAGTGGCAGGTGCGTGGTGGGGGGTGGGGGTGCATTGCACATCTGCACCTGCCTGCATGCCACTTGTCCAGCCGGGCAGGCGCCTGCACATACTCCGTACTGTACATCCACATCCGCTCTCACAGCCAAGCACGTGCCGAGACTGGAATTCGTTGAACTTGAGATGGCGCGGCACAGGCCAGGGGAAAAGTGCAGGCAAAAAAAAAATGACCAAAGGAGAAATAAAAAGGAAAAATAAAAAAGAAGAAAAAAAGGATAACGTGAGAGAACCAGCAAGTAACCGCACATTCTTGCACGAGACATCCATGCATACATGGGACAAGTGCGTACGGAAGGAGCTCGCATTAGATAGTTACCTAGGTACTCTGTACGGAGTACTGACATCTCTACCCTGCACCTGCATACTTGAGTACTTAGACCCAAGGTAGGCACATGCCAGGTACTTAAGGAGGTAGTTGCCACAAAGTCTTCTGTGCGAAACAGGCGCAGGCGCAGGCACAGGCACAGGCACAGGCACAGGCATGATCAGCCTCAGGATCAGCATCAGCATCAGCATCAGGACGACCAGGACGGACCGGACCAGAACCACACAAGAACCCGTCCCGCTTGATGCTCATCACGAGCACGCCGTGCACGGACTCGGACACGGGTCGAGGGCCAAGGCATCTGTCCATGTGCGTCGACGATTGGCTCCTTGAATCGGCGCCACGGGGGCAGAAGATGAGGTCGAGCGGCCGACACGGCGTTGCGGCTTATAGCCAAGCCAAATGGCCTCGCAACTCGCCGTCTGTAACTTCCTAATCAAAAGAGTTATTGCGTGGGCGTTTTGTTGTTTTAAAGGCCGCCCATTGCCCCTTTGACAAGAGCAGTCTTTGTCTGGCGCTCTCGGGAGACTGTCGTGTCCGTCCGCATAGTCACCCATCACCATCCTCATTCTCTGAGCCCTGCGACCCGTGCTGGGCGCGACTCCTCCCCTCGTCGTCGTCGTCGTCGTCGTCGTCGTCGTCGTCGTGTCGTCGCGTCGTCCTCCAGCCCCCAGCTGCCAGCTGCCGGCTTCGTAGCCTCAGCACTCGAGTGCCGCACAAGTCTGCTAGCACCTGACCGTTTCGGTTGACGTCAGCTGGCCGGCGTCTTGTCTCAGCGGCCTGCGCCCACTGGCTCCGGTGCGCCCCCGCCCCGACTCTCAGCTTTAGAGGCGCCGAATTAGAATAGTTGCTAACAATAACCCGCCAAACACTGCCCGGCTTTAGAACGTTTCAGCACCCGACTAGAACATTGATCATCGAACCCCTCGACGCCTCAAGTGCCTGCCCGACCAGGCCTCAGAGACCGGCACTTGTCCGACATCAGACATCAGACATCAGACATCAGACATCGGACATTGGACGTCCATCGATTCTACTGGTCGAGGCACCTTGGCCTTGATCAAGCAGCACCTGGCCTGGTCTGTCATCTGTCATTCCGTCTCCTCGGCTCGTCCGTCCAAACGCCGGTCCCAGATCACTCTTTTTTCGTCCTCTGTTTCTGCCACCAGCCAGCCAGCTACATCTGCCTCTGCGCACAGCAAAATATTGCGACAGCGGTTCACCATCGACTGGCCTGCGAGATATTTGTCGTGGAGTTGTTCAGCTGCTGATCGCCTCGCCTCGCCTCGCCTCGCTTTCGAATCCGTCCCAGCCAACACGAGCCATCGCCATGTCGTCATCGACGGCATCGCCGGCGCCATCAACGCCCGCCGCCGACGCGCCTGACGAACCGCAGACCGACGGCTCCAAGCTGCGAACCTTTATGGGCATTCTCAAAAAGTAAGAACAACATTTCGGTCCCGGACCCGACATGGAGCGTCTTTCTTACCAGCATCCCCTTTCCCCACGGCAACACGACGGGGCAAGGTAAAACAGCTTGATTGGCTGACACACCACTTACTTCTGTCTAGATTCATAGGCGTTTCTGACCTTGCCGCTGTTCGATTCTCCCTGCCCTCGCAGCTTCTGGAGCCCACCCCCAACCTCGAATACTGGACTTACCTCGATGCCCCCAACGCCTTTATAGCCATTGGCACCTCGGAGGAACCCCTCGACCGCATGCTTGAAGTCATCCGCTTCTGGCTGACCAAGGACTTGAAATATGCCAAGGGCAAGCCTTGCAAGCCATACAACTCCTGCCTGGGGGAGTTTTTCAGGGTATGCCGCACCGCTGGACCGACCCCAAGCCCCGGGGGGGGGGGGGGGGGGGTGGGGGCTGCTTGCGAGGGGGAGTCGGAAGCGGAGGACCGAAAGGGCAAAATGGTTGACGACTTTGTTTTTTTGCTGACCACTGGCCTTTTGCACAGTGTAACTGGGAAACCGAAGACAATGCCCCGAGAATCGAAACGGCCGAGCTCAGTGGCTGCGTGTCGGGATCAGAGAAAGGTTCATTGCGCAGCCTCAAAGTGCCACCCAAGAGCGACAAGAATGAATCGACCCTCTCCCTATCCGTTCCCAAGCACGGCACCTCAACACCAGACAAGAAACCGGTTCGAATCTCGTATCTCACCGAACAGACTTCTCACCACCCGCCCGTGAGCGCCTTCCATATTACTTGCCTCGAGAGGGGCCTCACAGCTCGGGGCTTTGATCAAATCAGTGCCAAGTTCACAGGCACCTCGGTCAAGGTGCTCCCCGGTGAGCACAACATGGGCATCTTCATCACGCTGGACAAGCACGGTGGCGAGACGTACCAGCTCACTCACCCGGCTGCACATCTTGGCGGTCTCCTGCGAGGGTCACTCAGCGTTTCCGTCAGCGAAATGGCCTACATTACATGCCCCGAGACCAAGCTCAAGTGTATCCTTCACTATGTGGAAGAGGGCTGGCTCGGCCGGACCACCAACAAGATCGACGGTGTCGTATTCCGGTATGATCCTGAAAACGACACAAAGAACCGTGTACAGGATGTCCCCGACGAGGACATTCTTGTTCGTTTGAGTGGTCCGTGGCGAGAAAAGGTGGTCTTCTCTCTGGGTCCCAAGCCAATGGTGAGCATTCCTTCTCTCCCCCCCGACGCTCATCCAGCACACGCCCGCCTCGCTCTCTTGCTCTCACATGTCTTGTCTAACCGCAATTCTGCAGAAATCCGTGCCCCTAGAACACCGATACACAATCGTAGACATCGCCCCTCTCCACGTCGCCTCCAAGATCCTTCCTCCGCAAGATCAGCAGCTCCCCCACGAATCCCTCAACCTGTGGGGTGGCGTGACCAAGGCCATCCACGCCAAGCAATTCTCCAAAGCCACCGACCTCAAGGTCGAGCTCGAGGAAAAGCAACGCGAAAGGGCCCGCGAGCGCGAAAAGAACAAGGAGGCCTGGCGGCCCGTCTTCTTTGAACACGTCGTTGGCAACGGGGGGAAGCCAGACCTGACCGACAAGGGCAAGCAAGTGCTAGAGCGAGCGCAGAGGGGCGACTGGTCCATGGACGGTATTTTGTAAGGCAGAAAACAAAAGGACAGCAAAATAGACTCTGCCTGGCGAACAGTCATATTTATAACTGCATAGGATCATGGCATTTTTCTTTCTTTCTTTGTGTTCCCCTTTTTAGGGCAAGGGGGTCTGAGCCGTGCAGCGTATACCCTCATCTTGGTTTGGCGAGGGTCGCCACCACACGGTGGCATTACATATCCGTGTTGTCTGCTTGTTTACGGCGTCATTCATGGAGGGTCTTGATTTGATTTAGATGAAACAGACAATAGAAGGTGTATGAGACTACAGACTACGCATTTGTCCAGCGGACGTGTATAGAACTGCAAGTTTGCCATCGCGGGCGATCGTCTCGTCTCGTCTCGTCTCGTCGCGTCGCGTCGCGTCGCGTCGCGTCGTGTCTGACGCACGCGGGACATGCAACTCTGCGTGCTCGGATGCCGCGTGCAGGTCGGCCCGGCTTGAGAGACAGGGGAACGGACCGGGGTGGGGGGTGATTACTCGACGCGAGACTGTGTATTCGTAATGACTTGGCTGGAATTTTAATTTTTTTTTTATTATTTTCCCTCCGTTTCTGGCCGTCCTTGTACATACATACATAAACGCGGGGTTGGATACACTGCTAATGATACATGGGTGAGGTAGGTGGATGGGCTGCTGGCATCCTTTCCTGTTGCAGGATACCTACCGCCTTTCCCCGACCGTACGTGATCTGTTAAAACATGGGCTGAAAGGGAAGCCGATCCAGCGTTTTTGACTCGCGCCGCAGTGGGGTCTGGCTTGGGCGACGGTATTTACGGTGTTTCTTCTCATTGCGGCGGCTGTTGCACGGGTTGCACGGGTTCAGGTTGTCGATTATGCGTCGACAAAGTCCTTGACGTTGCTCAGCCACCGCAGGTACTCCTTCTGCTCCTTGACGTCCACGTAGTCGGGGATGAAGACGGCCATGGCCTGCGTGATGCCTCTCTCCTCGAGGAATCGCTCCATCAGGACCTGGAGGTCCTCGTCGAGGCTGCCAAACGGAGGGCCGGGGTACACGTCTGCGCGCTTGTGAGCGGACTCGGGGCTCTCGACCTTGGCCACCTTGGCGTCCTCGTAGAAGAACATGTTGTCGACGACAATGTTGCCGTCCTGGGCCGTGGCGTCGATGTTGAGGGCGCCGTCCGTCTTGCCGGGCTTCTCGACCACGATGGAGAGGTTGATGGGGGCGGCGACCTCGTCGTTTAGCTCGTCTGCTTCGTCTGTTTCTTCGGCTTTGTGCATGGCCTGCTTGTCGGGGGATTCGAGCGATTCCTCGAGCTCCTCGTCCTCGAGGGCGGCGTCCTCGCTGTAGGGGTCATAGTTGGTGATGTCGGAGATGGAAAAGCTGACGGTGATTCTGGGAACGGTTAGATTTCGCTTCTTGTGCTCTTTCTTCTTCTTCTTTTTTTCTATCAACGGCCAACGATTATCGGCATGGCCAGGGCTTGGCTTACTTCTCGTTGCCGAATGAGCGAACGAGCTTCACGACTTCCTGACCAGGAGTGTCGATCAGCTCAAAGGGGCTGTTTTCCAAAAAGTCCTGCACGCTGGCGGGTTGCTGCTCCTGTGCTTTCATGTCCAGCTCGATCTGGATTTCGCTGTCTAGTTTGGCGGACAGCTCGTCGTCGGTCTCGCCGTCAGCGGCACGGCGTCCGACAGTCGTCGAGAAGGCAGCCGTGCGAGCAGGGCGCAAGGCTCTGATGGCTGAGGTTTTGGCGAGCGTGCTGGGACGGGCGACTCCAGAGCGCGTGGAGGTGCTGGCGACACGGACCATGGCCCGGGGGGCAGACCGCGCAAAGCTTCGAAGAGACAGCATCGTGGCGGTCAGTGTGGGTGATGGGTTTCGGCGGGAAGCAGGAGGAGGCGAGGGGGAGCTTGGCGGGATGATATTTGATGATGGAATAAATATGATGGCTGGACAGCTCGGAAATTTTAGCACCAGGCGCTATTGAATTTGTGGGGCAGAGCTTCGCGCCAGGGGCCCCATCATTTGACCTTGCACGTGATTCATAACGTCCAGAGTCCAGACGTCCTCGATGCCAGAGAAGGGGGGGACAAAGAGGGAAAATAAAAAAATAAAAAAATCAAGAGAAGGCGTGCTTGGGTCGTGCTTGGAGGAGTCTCCTTCACGTGCGCGTCTCTGCATTTTACGTTTTATGTCTATTGCGTGGTATTATTTGTTCTCGTGTGAATCCTTGCGCTCTTGTGAATAATGGCTAGCAGGTCATCCATCCATGTCCAGAACCAACTCTGAAGATTCCGTTATCCATGGTTAACCTCCAGCCCCATCCAAATGCCCAGACACCCTGACAATGATGGTCAAGTATCTCATGTCGAAGATCCTTCATCTCTGCTCTGGCCGGCCACTACAGTCACGACATAGCGCATAGCGATTGGTGCCGACGACTCGCGGCTCAACGGTGCGAGGAAAACTGCCGTCAGTGGGCATTACGCAGCAAGCGTTGGCACTACCGGCAGCCTTGCTCAGAGCGAGTGAGTCATGAAAGGGCAGCTGTGACTCTGTCGACCCAGGCATCAATCATGTGACATCTTTAAACTCCCCAATCGCATGAAGAGGCATCAGCATCAGTTGATTCCTTTGGACGGAAACTCGGCAGATCTGACTTGACCAGCACTCGATACCTTGATCCAGGGCAGGGTGGTCAGGTATGCCCACGATCCTTCCCAATCCTGCAAGCTCTTTGCATGGTTGGCGGTCATGACATCGGGGATCACTGCAAATAATCAGTTCCCACCGCCTGGCAGCACAAAAGGTGGCAAAAGAAGCTGACCAAATCCATTCCGGTACTCCTTCTCCAACGCGGCGATCTTCAGCTTGAGTAAATCTTCTCTGGCGCTGGCAGGTCTGCCTGGACGACGGGCCTTTTTGAGGCCATCATATTCCTCATCATATTGACGAATGAACCTGGTCATATTTTCTTAGCAACCACACACGTCGCCGAGGGCTGTATGAGTCTGAGCCCACCTCTTGATATAAGATTGAACCGTCTCGACATCGAGAGGCTGGGGATCTTTCTCGTCGAGACTTTCCTGAAAGAAGCTGACCCGGTCAACTAGACGGGAGAGGCAAAATGAAGAACAAGGGTCAGCGTTGTCGGTTGGATACAGTTTCTCTGCGGAATGCTAACGGTACCAATAGGCTGCTCCTTTTTGCTTCTTGCAGCGGCAAGCTTCTCTAGTCTCTGATCCCGCACGCCGGCCTTGTGCAGTCGCAGAGAGTCCCTAGACTTTGCATGCAGGGCATTGACTTCGCCATTTCGCTTCTTGGCAATGTGCTTGCGCGTCTTCTGTAATGAGCTGGGCATGTTGGTTTTGTGATGTCCAGCAGACTTGTCGTGTCTCTCTGCATGCGAGGCCCCGAGAAAAGTCGATATTTTCGGTGACGAGTCAAACGAAAAGCAACGACGAGGCACGCACCAGTCCGGTATGGGATGCCCGCCCCACCCGCAGCCCACCACTCAGAAGAGCCGGTTGTGGCCATGTTGGGGCGCGGGAACTAACCGCTTTAGGCCACTGGAGCCGCGCCAACCTTGGAGAATCCATTCTCCATCAAATCGCGACCCGCGGCTGGGGAACCAGACGAGGCCGTCCATCATTGATACGCGTTCACTTGTGGCACGCGTTCAAAGCTCCATGTGGATATGACGGCGTACAAAACTGCCCCTGTCTCGGATGGACGAAGCTGCTGAGGGCTGCTGGTATGTGGTCTCAGCCCGGTGCAACCTGGCTATCTGGCGGTCTGGCATTTTGACGACGAATTGAACTTGGGATGAGGTGCAGCAGCAAGCAGCAACTCAACTCAAACCAGTTGAGTGCTGCGGGCACATTTCAGCGCGTTTCAGCGGCCTTTCAGCAGTATCTTCAGCACCTGCCCCACCCTCCTGTCGTGTCAACTGGTCCGTGTCAACTCATCTCAACTTGTTCCATGTTCCATCAACTTTCCAATGCTATTCTGCACTTGACTTTCCACCTCTCACCGTTGCTGTTCTGACCTCGCCGCCTCGCCGGCCCGAATCACGTCTCTTCGACTTGTGCCTGGGCTCTACGCCTCGTCTTTCAATCCGTCTTTGCAGCCCGCGATCCTGTTCCCCAGCTCTACATCGATCAGCCCTGACAACAACAACAACAACAACAACCGCTCACGCGTCGGGCTTCACCAGCACCTCCCTGGTCACGCCGTGATACTACATCGAATTCTCCAATCCCTCTCCTAGCATCTCACGCGCTTGTCGACACCGCGACTCCCCACCTGCTCAGTATTGCTACGGCTCATTCTGTTGATGCCAACCCTTGGCCGTCACCATGGGCGTATCAGGTCAGTACCTGTCCCATCAACCCGCCCAGTTGTCCTTGGTCAAGGCTGACCTGAAAATAGGGCTTCTGCCCCTGCTCAAGTCCATACAACGACCCACTGAGCTCAAGAAGTACAGCGGCGAAACCCTTGCCGTAGACGCGTACGGATGGCTTCACCGAGCTGCCTATTCATGTGCCGTGGAGCTTGGCCAGGGAAAGCCCACCAAACGGTTTGTGGTTGTCAGGAGCCTCGCATCTTGCTCTAGACTAACTAGAGCCTTCAGATATGTAAACGCTGCCTTGCATCGCGTTCGGATGCTTCAGCATTTTGGAGTCACCCCGTACATGGTGTTTGATGGTGACTACCTTCCGAGCAAGGCTGCCACTGAGAATTCGCGCGCCAAGACGCGGGAGGAGAGGAAGAAGCTGGCAAATGAGCTCCTCAAAGCTGGAAAGCCCTCACAGGCCGCTCACGAGTTCCAAAAATGCATCGACATCACCCCCGAAATGGCATCGACCCTGATCCAGGAGCTCAAGCAAATGGGCATCCCATACGTGGTGGCCCCCTACGAGGCAGATGCCCAGCTTGTATACCTTGAACGCCAAGGCCTCGTCAGTGGCATTATTTCAGACGATTCGGATCTACTTGTATTCGGTGCCAAGCGCCTTTTGACCAAACTGGACCAGTATGGTAACTGCATCGAGATCAACCGACGTGACTTCTGTGCTTGTCGTGAGGTGTCCCTCACCGGCTGGACTGACACTGACTTCAGACGAATGGCCATCATGAGCGGCTGTGATTACCTCGATGGTCTGCCAGGCGTTGGCCTCAAGACCGCCCATCGCATGTTACGAAAGTCAAAGACACCTGAAAGAGTGGTTCGATTGCTGCAGTTTGAGGGGAAGCGTATATCAGAAAACTATCTGTCCAAGTTGTATCAAGCAGAACTGACCTTTCTGCATCAATGGGTGTTTTGTCCCGACAAGAAGGAGGTTGTTCATCTGACAGAATTGGACAGTTCCCGAACAGCAGAGGAAATGCCATTCATTGGCGCTCACGTTGAGCCCGAACTTGCGAGGGCCATTGCAAAGGGTGACGTCAACCCCATCACAAAGACACCCATTGTCATCGCCACAACACCTTCTAAGAGGAGACACTCCCAAGCGGCAACTCAAGCCCAGCCGCCGAGAAAGCCGATCACATCCTACTTCAAAGGCCACAATCGCATACCCATGGGCGAAATGGACCCCAATTGCTTTTCTGTCGACCCTCAACGAGTTGCGCAAATTACCGAAAGGGGGATCGTCCCACGGGTGTTTCCCTTGCCGCGACCATACGTCGACGACCAAAGTGAAAATCCTGGACGCGGCACATCAACTCCCAGGCGGCCGAGCTCGGCCCCGACCCGTACTTCCCCTCGACTTCAACGACGGCGAACAGAACCCATTTCGAGCATGCTTTGTCACGTCGCAGGCAGCCCAGCTCCGGCAACCGCTGGAGACCCTTCTCTCCCTTCTCCTCTGGGGGCCCCACTGTCAGAGCCTCAGGTCAGGCCAGCCAAGAAGGCGCGTCTGTGTGACGAGCAAGACGAGGAGGACGGCTCGCCAAAGAAGAGCAAGTTCTTCCAGCTCCCTAAAACCAAGAGGAGTCCGGTCAGGGCGAAGAGTGATGCATATCTACTGTCAGATGACTCCATTGAAGAGAGCCTCCGGGATCTGCCTGATTTTGACGGGTGGAAACCGTCCAACAAACGGGGAGAGCCGATTGCTATTTTTAATGACGGGCCCCAGCTTCCCAACCCCGACCAAAGCCAAGTCTCCATGGACAATGGCGAAAACACTAGTCGGGGCACGGATGTCACCCTGCTATCCCCGGTTCAGAATGACTTGGAGAGCCCTGCAAACAACGTGATGCCTCCGCCCAAGTCCACCAAGTCAACGACAAAGCCACTCAGGACTCCATCCCGAGGGTCTGATCTCAGCCGTTTCTCATTTTGGTCCAGGCCTTCGGCTACCCCCTCGTCGTCCACGTCGCATCAATCATCAGTTTTCAGCGTGGCCTCCACAGCATCGACTGCTCCGTCGACTATTGCGTCTCGGCTTACGCCACTGCAAAGACTTGGCGCCCATGCCACCAACTCCATGATGTCCCCCAGGCCAGCCAAACCAAAAGTCAGTCTGGCCAAGAGCAGTGTCAAGGGATTGCCTGTCAACCCGTCATTTGTGCCCTTGCCGAAGGTGGACGTGACGGAGGTTGAGGCCCTGAATAAATCATGCGGCAGCGAGGATCAAATCGTTCCCGAAAGCGATGGCGAGAATGAAGACGAGATTGAGCTGTGTCCGAGAAAGTTGAACCTGTCTCGATTTGCGTTTTCCTGATGGCATTATCGACAGCAGGCTCCTTTGACTGTGGCGGGACTTTGCGCCGTTCTGTTCATACGTATATATTCAGCGTGAGCGAGCATTTGCAGGCGTTGTTGTCTTGTGTGTTTTTCTTTTTTGTCCTTGTTGACAGGGGAGGGAAAGGAGGCGCTTGTCGGAAGTACGTGTTGGAGTTTGGCATTGCCGGAGCGACGTTGGTTGTCTTGATTGTGATGAGGAAGGGCGTAGGGACTGAATACAAATACCTGGCATGAGAGGAGTTAAAAACAGAATTGTGGACTAGTCATAATGAGTCGGTAGTTTGGGAAAATTCGAGTTTTGCCTACTTGGCCTGAGATTATTCCCGCGTGATGGCCACGCCACGGAGCACATTGTGCTCGGCGTTTTGTCCTTGAGGCAGTCATGTGGCGAGGAGAGCACCGGGAACTTGGCCAGCCGGCGATAGCCAAGCTTGGGACCCCGTCTCGACGAGCCTCCGTCGAACCTGGGTTCCGAGGTGCCGTGTCAACAAGTCAAGGAAGACGCATCTGAATCGAGTCGTCAAGGTCCATGTTTGTCTGTATGTACCACGTGCGCCCAACACGCCTACGAATGCTTGTAATTCTCTTGGTCCCATCCTTTCAAACGCGCGTGTGGATAATTCCGACATGTCGAGTAAAAGGGAGAAGAAAAGAAAAAAAACGACGCCAACACTGAGGGGCACAAGAAAAAAAATACAAGATACACAAACTCCAACAACGCCCTTTCCATGCCAGAGCCAGCACAGGTTGAAAGGCAAAATAGTTCAAGATAAAAATGAAGCCCTCCCTCCCGCCCCGGGTCCGCCCCGGGAGGCCCCGAAAAGTGCTGTACTGTAAAGCAGTGTAGTGTAGCGTGTGTGTGCCGCTCCCCGGCTTGCATGCAGCGTTCTTGCGGTCGTGACGTCGTCAAAAAGAAACAAAGCAATCTATGAGTGTATCCCGTAGCGTGTGCAGCCGCGCGAGGGCCCAATGCCTCTCTCTCTGTCGATTCTTGCCCTCCTCTCCTTAGCGGCGGGTGTTTACGACAGGAGGGGCGACGAGGTCCGCGTTGAAGGTCCATTTTGCTGCGTGGGGTTGTTAGTTTTGTGGTAATTTTTTTTTGAATGAATTAATGAATGAATGAATGAATGAATGACGGGGGCATACGCACACTTTGCAAGGTTCTCGGCCGTGTCCTCGAGCAAAATGACACGGCGCTTGTTGCAGTACGACGTCTTGTCCATAATGTCCACCTTCAGCTTGGGATCGGACAGCTCCCCAATGGGCTTCTCAAACATCTCGGACAAGTTTTCCACCGCCATTTCCAAGTCCTTCTGGTTGTCCTCGAAGATTTCCGTCAGGTTGTTTCTGGCCAGGTAGAAGGCAAAGGCATACGTCCACTTAAGCGTCTGTCGGCAAGTCTGGAGAGCTTGAGAGGCCGAATGAAGGTACTGCACTTCGATCCACGACATGCCCGAGGTCGTCTGCAGCTGTATCATCTTCTTCTCCGTCTTTTGCGCAATGTCCTTGTCCAGCCTTGCAGACTGCTCGTGGTTGGCATAACGGTTGTAGTAGTGCAAGTAGCGCTCCAACGATGTCCTTGACTTGGCCTGTGCATCTCGTGCCTCGGAACCGCTCTTCTCTTCGTATCGGTTGCAATTGTACCAGCTGGTGCCGTGCTCTGACCAGAGACCCATGCACATCCAGCAAAATTCGTACTTGCATTTCCTGCACGTCATGTGATTGCATCCGCCGTTCTTTTCGATTGTTGAGCAGCATTTGGGACACTCCTTTGTGTTTGCCGAGATCCAGTTTGCGGTTTCTGAGTCGTCGGCACATTTCTTCAACCACCTCTTGACGAGCTCGCAAGGCGCGGGCTGGTGATCGGCAATTGGACATCCGAAGCAGAATCTGTACCCGCACAGGCACTCCACAGACGGAACGATCTTTTCCAGATCCTTCTTCTTGAGGCCGCACTCGACAACGTTTGGGCAGTCGGGAGCTGGGCACCATTTGAAAATGTCCTTGTCCTCGACGTAGGTCCGGTTTAGTAATTCACGATAGCGGCCGGTCAGCTCGGGCGTGACGAGCAGGTCCAACGATCGAGAGTCGAGAATGCGGCCACAGCCGTCGGCAGGACACTGGATGCGGGCTGCTTCGCCTTCGCCCTTGATTTTCTGGGTCAAGTACTGTCGGTAACAATCGACGCAGTACCTGTGTCCGCACCTCAATGCAAACGTCTGCATGCCGTCCTCGTCTTCACAGCAAATGTCACACATAAAGCCAGGAACCGCCTCCAGCTTTGGCAAGGCAGCTGTATTGCTACTTAGGCCCGCAGCTTCAAGGACCTTGTCAGGTCGGTCCATGTAGTCTTCGAGCAAGCGTTCCTTGTTCCATCGGAAATATCGCAGCATAATGGCGGCGTCCTCCTTGCGCATGTCCAAGATCATATTCACCTCATTGATCATTGCGTCTTGTTGGTGTTGGATGTCGGAAGGCTGGAGGACTTTGAACGAAACGATGTGAGCCGGCTGTTTGGTCTTGCCGATGTCCTTGGAGGATATTCCAAAGTCGGGGTCAGGTTCGTCGAAATCATCTTCGAAATCTGGAGCAGCGGGATACTTGTGAGACTCTTGGTCATTGAATAGTAGATGAAGTGCCGGCTGACCACGAGTGGTGGCTGGTTCAGGAGACACCGGAGGCAGACAACAAACGCACCTTCGGCAGCAGACATCTCATCTCCGCTGTACTCCTGCATGCCCTCGGCGTCCGTGGACATGCCAGACATGTATTCCTCCTCCGAATCCATGCCGGCACTGGTGGTGGTGATGGGGGATGGCGGGGCTGCCGGAGGGGCGACTGCTGAGGCGGCGAGTCTCTTTTGGGCAGAAGTGTCTCTGTCTCGGTCTCGAGAAGGAGTCGTCGCCTCAGCAGCCTTTCGCTTCCTCGTTGATGGAGGAATCTTGGCGGCTCTATATGCAAGCGAAGGTACGGCGCTCGTCAAAAACTGCAGTTGTTTGACGAGACGAGCAGAGACGAGGCAAGACCGTATCGTACTTGATGTATGCAGCAGCGCGGGGTCCGTTGCTGGGGGGCCGGGGGGCGACGTTTGACGGTCCCTGGTATCGTCTCCAACGGCCAGAGGTCAACGGCGCTCAGGTGTGCGGATGGCGGATGGCGGATGGCGGATGGCGGATGGCGGATGGCGCGGGAAAGGGCAAGGGTGATGTGACGTGCAGCAAGATGAGTTGGGGGAGTTGGGCCGACAGCGAGAGGATGAGTGCCCAAGAACAAGCAGCGGACGGATGCCGGATGTGTCGGTCAAGTCGGATCGAGGGATACGATAACAGAGCGGCGGGGAAGATGGAGTCGACGGAATACTGGTTTGACGGCGATCTGATTGATTTCTCAGGGAGTCGAAAGGGGGTCTGGCTCGTGACCGGCGGCGAGTCTAGCCTTCAAAGGTGCCTGAGTACCACTCCGTTGGCACTAATAGCGGGTGGTCACCGGCCACCGGCCACCGGTCGCTGGTCACTGGTCGCTGGTCACTGGCCAGTGGGCGCTGTACGTGGTCAACTCGCACACCGGCGCGGGTGATCCTCGGGGCCCAGCCGAGTCAGGTTACCTGGTAACGTGCAAAATCAAGCTATTCTTCATCTTCAGTACAGCATCGGTATCATGCACGAACAAGCAGCACGGGGCGCCCGGTATGACGGCCAGCCACAAAGAACAAAGAGCACCATTGTTTGTATCAATGCTACCCAACACATCCCAAGACCCGAAGCCCTCGCCCTGTGCAAACCGCGAACACCCCCGAGCCTAGCCAAGCACCTTTTCCGCCATCGACACTGCAAGCAAGCAAGTCAGCACCGCGTCCCAGAGCAGCCCGAGTCGGTTAATACATACCGTCAGCACCAGTGCCGTCCGGCTCAATAAACGTCTTGGCGACCTTGCCGTTCTCAATCTTCAAGGCATAGCGCTTGCTTCGCACACCGCCAAAGATGGCGCTGCCATCAAACCCAATGTCCAGCGCCTTGGTGAACCCTGCCGAGGGGTCGGCAATGAAGCGAATCTGCAACAGCAAGTTTAGTAATCGCACTCGACATGGCAGTGTAAAACTGCCGACTGTAGACCTACGCCCGTCTCCCCGGCAGGATCAAGCTGCTCAGCCCATGCCTTCATACTGATCATGTCCGACCCATTAGCTCAGACACGAAAACATTGTCATCAGTGGGAAAAAAAAATGAATGAAAAATGTCGGAAAATAAAAGCTTACACAAACGGGTCATTGACAGAAACAACAAACACCTGACCTGCTGTCTTCAATCCCGGGTGGTTGATGTACGAAGGGACGTGTAAGCTCGAACAGGTACCCGTAAAGGCCCCAGGAACGCCAACAATGTATCCATTGGACGACTTGAACTCCTCGGACAGGTTGACCTTGTTGCCGGGGGAGTTCTCAAAGAGACCGTCAAAGTCGGGCAGCCCATCGCCGGCCTTGACAAAGGCGCGCGGCGTTGAATGGAAGCTGCGCGTGGCAGCGAAAGGGCGGGCGAGTGCCACGCGGCGGACAGAGGTTCGAAAGGCCATTTTGTGTCGGTTTACTGGTGAAGAGAGAGTTTGGCGTGAGATGTGAGGGTTGAATAGATAGATGCGCCGTACGCGGGCTGGCCCTGACGGTGCTGCAGCTGCCGATGGATGAGGTCTAATATCAGACAGAGCTCGGAGCCGGAGCTGGGGCTGCACGAGCTTGGCTCCGAGGTGATTCGCCCCACATGCCAAATGCACAACGCACAAAGCGCCTTATGTTTATGCACATGCACTGCAATTCACACCCTTGGATTGAAACCGCCTTGACCTCGTCTCCTTTTAATATTCCGCATACGAGCTGGCTTTCGTGCCAGACTCATCACATCGACATGATGACAAGATGCATTCTACGGCGCACCTGAGCAGGGTTGGAGCCAGGAAACGGCCCTGGCGTCGACACAAATTACAGAATCGATCCCACTGCGAAATATAAACCAAGTGAAGTGCCTGGACGCCCGGTAAACAGTCCCCCATGTTCCATTCGTTTCTTGCGTCAGGCAAGCACTTGAGGCTACTCGACGACCTGGAGCGACGCTGATATTATACTCCGTAATCATGCCGTGTTTCAACTCGCATGGGCGCCGGTGCCGGGCACTCCGTACGCTGCCATGCGTTCTTCAGGATCTGGCGCCCAAGTCTTTCTCTGACACGCAGTGTCTCGGATACGTGGAGATAAAATGCTCGTACGGAGCACGGGCTACGCCGTAACGAAAAGCCATTGCTCCAGCCTCCCACAATGCTCACAGAGACCTGTCACCCTGACTGTGCGCGGTATATCCAGGATCACTGACCCACGATACCGGGTCGCCTGCGTTCCACCGGTGTCACCGACGGTCCGGTTAAAGCTCGTGCATGATTTCAAGAAGCGTATCCAGGTTGGCGGGATTCAAACGATCCACAATGTGGCGAGTTCGATTGCATTACTGGTGACCTGTAGACGGATCCCCGCCGTTCCCGGATATGACATGCGATGTTCTCGAAGTGGCTTTTCGCTACCCGCGCGTAACTCACCTCACGACATGTTGGTACCAGGATATGACCGTGCCATGTTCTCAAAGTGGCTTTTTGCTGCACGCGGGTACGTGGTGACTGCTTGTTGGAACGTACCATGGTCCATCCTTAGCGTTGGTCTACATTTACAATTGCGTCAGTGATTGCAAAGAGCCAGTCAACCATTCAATATGCTTAACGTCAACGGCTGACCGAGAAAGGGTGTCTCTCCACTGAGTCGGGAGGCGTGTGTCCATGGCACAGTAACTACCAGCCAGATTCTTTGGAATTGTTGCCGAGGGAGAGAGTGCGTGTAGACGGCGCAACTGAACTGACTGACACTTTGCACCCTCTACCCCAGTGTTGATTGCATAAGGTTACTCATAAGTGCCCGAGCAAGATTTGCCCTAGTCTGTGTATAATGGCACCTTAGGAGTGTTGGTCAAACATGCCAGCTTTCTGCCCTCTCGCCGTCAAGTACATGGCTGTCGCCACAGACTAGATGTCCTGTTAAGCAGGTGATGTTTTGCACGTCCGTGATGAAAACCTTTGCATTTCCAAACTTGTGAGCCTAGCCTAACCGAGGTCAGAATGGCCCTCGGGCAAAAAGTAGTAGACCGCCAGGAGGCAAAACGTACCAGTCAGATCTGTGCTCACTTCGCTTGCTGGGACCCTGCCAACATGACGCTCGTATTTGAAGCTGCCGCTTGCTGGTTCGCTGTCCGCTTTGCTCCCGACACTGATGAGACTAGATCAATGATGCCGTCAGAAGACCAGCAGGCATCCACGCCGGTGCCAAGTTGCCGGAGCACACAGAACACACACACACGCAACACGGCACGGCACGGCACCAACACGGGGCACGTTTAATGACCTTTTCTCTTCCATCTCCCATGCCATGTCGGAGGTCTGCCGGGGGCCGGCGAGTCATCAAAGCGCCACGGCCCCCAACGGCGATGCTGAAATTGCGTGGAGAGAGTCTTCACAATGCCAACCGTGCATGTGGCGCGCGCTGCTTGGCACCCGTAGCCGTTATTGGAACAATGAACATGGCAGATGATGCCAGCCCCGGATGACCTTCCGGCGCGCGAGCCCGCATTTTGCCGTGCTGCTCGATGCGGTGTTCCCCCAGAAACTCTTCGGCATTTATTCCTGACTCGCAGTGCAGCAGTGTGGCACGGCATCAGAAGTTTCTTCTCGTAGCCAAAGAGAGCCCTTGTCGTCGGCATGAACCATGCATGCACCACGGCCCAATGCTACACAAAGGCTGGCTCTCAAACATGTCGAGAGTCGGATAAAAATCCCAACCCGACGAAAGCAGGCAGCATCACGTTACCGCACCAGCTCGAGACTGTGCGTGAGTACTCCGTACGGGCCTGCGAGGTCGGTGCATTGAGCTCCTCACCGAATATGACTGATACGGACTGCGGAGCACGATTACGCACTTATCAGACCAGCGTTATTTTTAGCCGTCGTGAGATTGTGCCAAGATCAGAACAGGGGTGCAGCTTCGTACAGGGAAGTCCAGTCCCTCCAGTCCGAGAGTGAGACAGCCACCGGATGGTCTTTGACATATCCGTCGACCTGGATGGCAGTGTCAATGTGGGAGAACTGGTATCTCGCCTTGCAGTCTATTGTCCCGGCATGCGCGTTGCAGTATCGCCGTGCATCGTCTGAGAGCATGGCAGCTGCACATGCGTGTCTGTCTGCAGCGAAGAGCCCTGGCGGCGTTGGGCTGAGTCAATGGCGGCCATGCTGTCCGTACTAGTGAGTCATGAACTTGATGAACTTTGTCGTAGCACACGTCCATACATCAAGTACGTCGCCATCAGGTACGCTGTAGGATCGGTTCGACGCTCGGCCCCGTGGCTGATGTGGGCACCGTCTCGACGACAGAGTTTCATTCCATATTCCCTTCTCAGTGAAGGGCGCTGATAGGTTGCCGAGCGTTCACCACGGAATCCACTTTGAACTACTCCGTAAGTACTTTTGGTATATCAGCGAAACGACCCACCTTCAAGAGCATCCAGAAGGAGGCACAAAGAGTATCACACTGACACCTTGCGATGTATCTATTTTGCACCACCACCAGTGACCACCATCACCACGACAGACTCCGCACTGTGCACATCGTACACATGCGCAGTAAAGCCGTGTGAGGCCACCATTGTTGCTGATTGTCTTGGTCGGCATTTCCATGCGCTGCGAATGGCTCTGGACACACGCGTGCTTGTCCTCACGGCATCTGCACCACTGCGAGGCTTCGATGCGCACGGCGCGCTCCGCATCAATGTGTGAAGCGGGAAGGCGAGACAAGCAGGGGCTGTCATAGTTCCGGCGGAGAGGCATGGATTGACCCGCGACTTTACCGGTCGCGACACTCGGGGCTGTATGTACAATAATGTTCTCCGTACAATAATAAATATATTGGAACGTGGAGCGCTGCGGCGGCGGCGGCGGCGGTGCCTGTGGGTTGTGGGTTGCGTGGCGCCTCCCCTTTCCGGGTTCCTGCGGTGGTCGGACGTTGGAAGAAGTGCTCGCTCGAGATGCGAATGCCACAGCCGTGCCTGAGCAGGCCCCTGGTCCAGAACAGATGGGTGGGCGAGGTCACATTCTTGACAGCCGAGACAAACAAAAGTCAATGTGCCATGATGCTGGGAGAGGTGATTTGTCAAGTCCGCGGTTGACTCTTCTTTCGGAGCAATACTCCACAGGACGGAGTATTCTCTGTCCAATATTGAAACTTGAAGCGAAGGAGAACAGGCAGGAGCGACTGGGCCATCATTGGCTCTGGGCAACGTGCCTGACCGACCCCTTGTAGGCGGGCACATTCACTTTGGTTGCATCTCGGTTCGGTACTTTTGACATTCGGCACCCAACACGAAGAAGGTGCGACAGTCTGTCAAAGGAGGCAACGTAATCGAAAACCCTCTCTGCAAGGCCATAAACACGCAACACACACACACACACGAGCAAAGATGGGATGGACGTCACAAAAGCGGTGGACTGTGAATCGGCGCGTCGGATCGCCCTGGGATTGATAGGAGTGAGCAGCTTTTGTCGTGGGGCCAGGCGTCATACCTCCGCTGGCCGTCACTGGAGTAGGGGTCGCGCGCGACTGTAAACTACGCTGCGTCGAGCATAGGGAGAGAGTGGAGAGGCCTTTTGGATCCGGCTCTCGCTGGTTATGCTCAAGCATCTTGATTGCACGAGAAGAGCGATTGCAATGTTGGGCCCAGCCGCCGCGGAGACGCGCTCGCTCAGCACCTCCTCGGGTACTTGAGTAGCTCGCCGCCGCCAACGAACGTCGGTCCCGCGGGTCTGGCCCGCAGTGCTCCGTACATGGAGCGCTGCTGAACATGTACATGTCTGAACCTGTCCAGGGATGCGCTCTACAGCACCTTGCTGCCCACGTCGCAATAAAGCCGCATCGCAACATTCGAATGTGCCTGGACGGTGTTGGTGTGGTGATTTCCAAGTTTGAACAGAGACTCGGCCACTCGCAACTACGGAGTACTCCGTACCCATCAGAGCCCAGAGATTAGCCGTCAGGACCTGCGAGCGGTCCTTCCCACCACCCCTCTTTCCCTACTTCCTACCTACCTAGGTACTTACTAGGTACTTACTTAAAGTACCTACCTATTATCAAGTACCTAGGTACTTACTCAAGTGCACACACGTGAGCATCTGGCTGTGCCCCTGTGCCCCCTTGTCCCTCCTGTTCCCTGACTTGGCCTGACTCTGGCCAATTCCAGTGGCCGCCGACCCCTGTCGACCTGCCCACCGGCCGCTCGATCTCGCTCACATCTGGCGTCCGCCTCCCAAGTCCACGAGTTGACTGACATGCTTGGTATCGCACGGCCGTCGAGTCGAGTCGAGTCGAGTCGAATCTGGCGCCCCCTCTCTTCTCGTCTTCTCGCCTTCTCGTCTTCTCGTCTACTGGTCGCCCCCCCCGTCCAAGGTTCAAGGTCCCTCGTCACGATTTCTCGTCCCTCGTCATCCGCTCTGTGCTTGTCCGTCGTCAATTTGTTCCTTGTCGCTGCTGCTATTTGGCCTGATCCCCGCCCCCCGTCCCAAGCCCAGTCTCCGCCGACTCTTCAACACGACCCTCGTCTGGTCGGACTGCCCTTCTCCCCTCTTATTAAACACATCACCGCCTTTGCGTTGCGCAGAACGTCTCGTCGCAGTGCACCGTGTTCGATACTGCGCTCTCTGAACGGCCCATTTGACGTGCAGCAAACCCGCGTCGTTCAACCGGAGGCGCCAATTGTCTGACGGCCGCGGCTTGAACCATCTGCTCGATCGACTCCCCGACCGCCACTATCTCGAGTCTCAGAACTGATATCCTGCGCCTCGAATTCTTCCTGACCAACCAACCACATGCTTGGGGCTACGGCTTGTTGACCGCATCGACACGACCGAGGAACCTAGGAAAAGACGACTGCATTGCATTCTTGCTACGTCAAACTTCACCCACCCGGGCCCTGCTTCGCACACAGCCGGCAGATACTTGCAGCTCAATACCGACTAGCCCCCAACAATTGGCTCGTCTCTTGGCTCGTGCAACGCACCGCCGTCATCCGTCATCCGTCATCCGCCATCCGCCATCCGCACCCGTCGCGGCTTGCCTCTGCGTCTCGTACATCTTGCAGCTCCTCTCCAAGCTGGTGCTACCTGCCGCGTCGATTCTCTTCTTCACTTTGATTGAACGAGGCTGCAATTTGGCCTCCTTGTAGCGCTTCTACCTGCCAGACCTGCTGCTGTCGCATGCAATAAATGACATCTCATCAAAGCCGACCATCTTTCAGCGTCCTCGACTACTCGGCCGTGTCCCACATAGACTCGTTCGGCTCACTTTGCGAAGGCCTAGAGCGAACGGCTTGACACTCATATTCAGGGGCCTTGTCTGGTACCCGCGCGCTCCCGTCTGTCGCGACGTCCATAAGGAGATAAGAGGCTCAGCCCGTCCTCGCCCGTTAGCTTCCTTGTCGCCGTTGCAACTGCCCCGCTCTGCTCATCATGCCCACCATGCTTCAGACGCCATCCAGAGCCTCAACTGCTTCATCGTCGTCGTTTCAACCATTGTCGCGCCAAAACACCATGTCGTCCTACGATGGCTCTCGCTCGGCGCGCCAGTCCAAGCGGTACTCCATGTCCGCGCTGTACTTGTCTATGTCAGCAAATGAGGGTGAAATGCAGATCGAAGATGATCTGGCCAAAGGTACACTCACACCTGAGCCCATATCTAGCCCTGATACTGACTTGTCCTTTTCTTTCAAGCCCAGAAAGTACTGCGGGATTTGAAGACAAAAATCTCGTCGCAGTCTAAAAAGAACTTTGTTCTTGAAAAAGATGTGCGGTATTTGGACTCGAGAATCGCTCTACTCATCCAGAATCGGATGGCTCTTGAAGAGGTGAGGACTCCCCATCACAATATGCCTTCGATTCCCCGTCGTATAGTTCGAGGTATGCTGATTTGACTTGATGCAGCAAAATGAAGTTGCCAGCCATCTCGAGGATGCTACCGAGGTTCAGGAAGGTGTTTTCCCAAATGATGACAAGACCCAGAAATACGGCAATCTCTTGTTTCTCTTGCAATCTGAGCCCAGACACATCGCACATTTGTGCAGACTGGTATCAATGGCCGAAATAGACTCCTTGCTGCAGACAGTCATGTTCACCATCTACGGAAACCAATACGAAAGTCGTGAAGAGCATTTACTTCTGACCATGTTTCAGGTCTGTGCTTTTGATTTCTACCCTCGAATTCAGCAAGCAGAATTGCCAACTAACATTTGTTGCCAGTCTGTCCTTACATACCAATTCGACAACACTCCGGATTATTCCTCCCTGCTTCGGGCCAACACACCCGTGTCTCGCATGATGACAACCTATACACGCCGCGGTCCTGGCCAGAGTTTTCTCAAGACTGTGCTGGCCGACCGTATCAACAGCCTTATTGAGTTGAAAGACCTGGATCTGGAGATTAATCCTCTCAAAGTCTACGAGCGCATGCTTGAGCAGATTGAAGAGGACACCGGGACCCTCCCCCCAAATTTGCCAAAGGGCATCACAGGCGAGCAGGCCGCTGAAAATCCACAAGTCCAGGCAATCATTGAACCTCGACTTACTATGCTTACGGAAATTGCCAATGGATTTTTGAGTACTATCATTGAGGGCCTCGAAGAGGCGCCTTACGGCATCCGCTGGATCTGCAAGCAAATCAGGAGCCTGACCAAGCGAAAATACCCTGATGCAAACGACCAGGTCATCTGCACTTTGATTGGCGGTTTCTTCTTCCTTAGATTCATCAACCCAGCTATTGTCACTCCCAAATCGTACATGCTTATTGACGGCACTCCCGCTGAACGGCCCCGACGAACCCTGACATTGATCGCCAAGATGCTTCAAAATCTTGCCAACAAGCCTTCGTACGCCAAAGAACCCTACATGGCGAAGCTTCAGCCTTTCATCCAGCAGAATAAAGACAGAATCAACAAGTTCATGTTGGATCTTTGTGAAGTCAGTGACTTCTACGAGAGCCTGGAAATGGACAACTACGTTGCGCTGTCAAAGAAGGACCTTGAGTTGGACATAACATTGAATGAAATTTATGCCATGCACGGACTCATAGACAAACACTATCAAGAGCTCTGCAAGGATGAAAATTCACATCTGGCTGTGATCATGTCGGAACTTGGTCCATCTCCCGCTCAAGTACCACGCAAGGAGAACCGGGTGATTAATTTACCGCTGTTCAGCAGGTGGGAAACTGCAATCGACGATCTAACCGCAGCGCTCGACATCACACAGGAGGAAGTGTTCTTTATGGAGGCCAAGTCCATCTTTGTGCAGATCTTGCGGACCATCCCCCAGAGCAGCGCGGTGCTGCGACGCCCGTTGCGTCTGGAGCGGGTAGCCGATGCCGCGGCAACGAGCCGTAACGACGCTGTCATGGTTCGCAAAGGCATTAGGGCCATGGAGCTCCTTTCGCAGCTGCAAGAGCTGGGCGTTATCGACAGGAGCGATCAATTTGACTTGCTGCGAGATGAGGTTGAGCAGGAATTGCAGCATCTCGGGTCCCTGAAGGAAGGCGTTATTGCCGAGACCGCGAAGCTGGAGGAGGTGTACAAGACGATTCGTGACCACAACACGTATTTGGTCGGGCAACTGGAGACGTACAAGAGCTATTTGCACAACGTGCGTTCCCAGAGTGAGGGCACCAAGCGAAAACAGCAGAAGCAGCAGGTGCTTGGACCATACAAATTCACGCACCAGCAGCTCGAGAGGGAGGGAGTGATCCAGAAGAGTAATGTTCCGGATAACAGACGGGCCAACATCTACTTCAACTTCACCAGCCCTTTGCCAGGCACATTTGTTATTTCACTGCACTATAAAGGTAGCTCTTGCGTGACATGAAAAGCTTTGAGGGAGTAGTGTGCACTGTACTAACATGGTCTTGTGTAGGTCGCAACAGGGGTCTTTTGGAACTCGATCTTAAGCTGGACGATTTGCTTGAGATGCAGAAAGACAACCAGGACGAGCTCGATCTGGAATATGTGCAGTTCAACGTACCAAAGGTGCTTGCGCTGCTCAACAAGCGATTTGCTCGAAAGAAAGGGTGGTAAACGGGCCAGTGATGAGCCCCGTGTAATCCAACCATGTACAACGACTATATCGGAAAAGGGCTGTTTGGCGTTTGGGAAAGCACTGATACCATGGAAATTTCATTTCTCACCCCTCATTTATGCATTTGTGAGGCAGTTTGATGGAAAGCTTTTTGCCTCTTCTTCCCCCAGTCTTTTGCTGATTCAAAATTTCCTTGTTGCTGCTGTTCGAAGGCCAATGCTTTGTATTGTTTTATTTTTCCACCTTGCTGCAGCGAGAGATATAGCGCTACATTTGCACGCTCGAATACTAGGTAATAACCCGGGGAAGGATATCTGATATTCTGCTTCGGCTGGTCCGTGGTAGGAGGCGGTGGTTTTTCTTTTTCTTTTTCTTTTTTTTTTTCATTGAACTGCTTGACTAAAGGCTCTGGCGGCTTATTTGATACTCGACCGGGGCTTTTGGACCAAGTCGGGAATATTTACCATTTGGATGAATCGGTATTGATAAATGAGTAACATATGTGTCCTGTCGCGTGATTCCATACACGAGGGCCTTGTGGATTCGTGTGCATGGTTTTGACTGATTGACGACGACAGCTGCGTTCATCCACAGCACCGGACAACACAAGGCGTTGATGCAGGGGAGAGAGGAGGCGTGACAATGCCCAGGACGCAAGCGTGAGAACAATAATCTACGGCCAAGTTTGCCCATCATCAAGCGCACGCCAACACACGCATCGCGGAACCGCAGTATTTGGTCTGCCCAGATGTCGCCTCCCACGCGGCTGGTTGCCCGCGGCGCTTGGAGTCGATAGCGCCTCATCTCTCGCCAGGGCAATGCTTCAAACCTGCGCGTTTCGCGGCGCCGACTTCGCTTCCAGGAGCCAGCAAGTGGGTGTTTGGCTTGTCCTCCGGACGGTCGTTGGTCTCTCCCACCTCCGGCGCCACGGCCCGCGACAGCCTCACTTTTCGAAAGCTGGCCACAGCCGATAGATTGATGGCTTTGCTGGTTCACGTCGGCTTGCAGTGGACGAGGCCGCGACGATAGCGCTGACGTTTATGCAAGCTGCTCAGCTGAATCGTGTCTTGCCAAGGAGTCGACGCCCTTGATTCAGCCGCATTGCCGTCATTTCGCGGCGGACCGATGACGAGTTGGCCAGGTCCGAAGCCCGGGCTGAGGCTCCAAGTTGGACTTTGGAAGTGAGCTTCATTCCCAAGCATCGTCTTGTGATTTATTGTAACAAGTCGTGGAATGTAGATTGAAACCTGTGTTGCATATTGCACGTTGCGGCGTCACCGTCTCCCAAACACATGGCATCTCAACTCAACGTCGACGAGCTCATCCGCGCGGCAGAATACCACCACAAGCAATATCTACAAACACTCGGCAACATCCAAAATACCGTTGACCAGCGGACCCGCGAGCGTGAAGACAGTCGCTCAACGGTCCCTGAGGCCATGACGCCTCCCCTCGGCGCTCTTTTTCGCCCGACATCCGTCAGTCCTGAGCCTCACTTGCATAATGCTCACCCGAGTCGCCTCCTGCGGACGCGAACCTCTACATTGGAAACGGCGCGAGGGCGGCCGTCATTCTGTCCGTGCCCATCTCCCAAGCCCATAGCGCGCTCGATGATGTCTCACGATCCAGAATCTATTCCCGACGAGGAACTATCCTTCATCCCCTTGCTGGACGCTTCCTCTGCCGGCGCTCGCCCGGTTGAAGAGCCGGAGCCTGCGGCAGATATCACTTCGAGGGCACAGAAACCTCTTCTGCCGCTGAGTTTTACCGACGACATGCTCATGCGGCACCTTCGTGACACAGAGTTCGAAGCGCCCCTGGCTACCGTGTTGGACGAAGTCGTTCGTCGGCGGCCAGACATTGACCTCGGCATGCCGTTTCGTGATTTTGCCACCTTTGAGCGGGAGAGCTACGTGAGCACCACGTTTGAGGTGTATGAAGTGGCAGCAGATGCGTCTGCCAAGAAGATGAACATTGACATCGACGTGCAACGGGATGTGAAGTACGGCGGCGACGGGGTGCTGTATGAGAGCGCAGACGAAATCGTGGATGCGCCGACGGTGTGGGAGGCCATCAAGCATGTCAACTCGGACGGGGAGGCGGTCGGCAGAATCACGCATGTCCCCCATGTTCCTTTGCCTACATCGGGCCCTCTAGAATCATCCGGTCCGGACGTTGCTAATGAGTCCCATGAGCAGCATCGTCCAAGAGCCGACGCCGCTCATCCTCGCCGCCCTCCATCTCACAATGTCACCGCACTTCGACATGCGCGAGCTCCTCACCCATCTTCTCTCGGACGCCCCGAACCGCGGCCGCACAAATGCCATCATGCACCGAGCTTTTGAACGAACCTCGTCCGTCTCACCATACCCCCCTTCACCCTTCGACCCTCCGGCCCTCGATGCCCGTGACCCGAGTCCCGCCGTCCCCCGAGCCGTGTCACCCGTGACAAACGTCCGCCAGCGCTCATTCTTCTTCGTCTTCAAATACTACACCTCGGTGGCAGAAGGCCTCGAGCCCGCCCCCTGGCAGAGGTTCGACAAGCGGCCCGCTGACAACCGGCTCGGCGACCACATCGACGTTGCGGAATGCAGCTCCGTGCTCGCCCTCTCGCTCGGCGGCGAACCCATCAAGCCGCTGCGCATGAGGCCTCGCCGGGAAAGGGCCAGAGAAGGCTTTCTCTTCGATACCTTTGGTCCGTGGCACCTGTTGAGCATCCAGAGCTTCCCCGACGACCAGCACGCCGTTCGCGGGGACGAGTTTCCGAAAAACAGCTTCTACAGCGGCCCATGTGCGTTTCTGCACCTCCTCGTTTCGGAGTATCGCGATGCCGGGAGACGCAACCAGATTCTTCACGAGAAAATCACAAAGCTCATCACCCCGCCAGTAAAGTCCTCCTCAAGCACGACCCCCCGTCCGCCCCTATCCGTAACCTCGTCCTAACCATCTTCTCCCGCCTCCCCCCCCAAAGACCGAATTCATGTTCGACCGCCGCCTCCGCGACAAGCTCCTCTTCGAAGACAAGCACTTCACCTACATCCGGCGATACTTCTGGGCCTACAACACCCTCGCCGTCATCAACACGGGCATCAACGCCATGGTCGCCGCCTACTGGGACACCTTCACCGACGACTTCTGGTCCGGCAGCCACCCCGTCCTCACTCCGCACCCGTCGCCCTCGTCCCCCCCCGGCGAGGCGTACGCGGCCAAGACGGCCCCCCTGCGCCGCGACCTCGTCAAGGCCGTCACCGAGCTAGGCGACGTGCTGGAGCGCAACGAGCGCACCAGGAGGGAGATTGAGAGCCTGAGGGACCAGCTCTTCAGCGGCAGCTCCATCAAGGAGAGCAGGCGGGCCATAGACCAGGGCGACAACATCCGCGTCCTGACCGTGATTAGCATGCTCTTCCTGCCGCTCACCTTTGTCACGGCAAGCAGTCCTTCTTCCCAGCCTCCAGCACGAAACAAGCTGACGCTCGTCCTGTTGAATAGTCTGTTTTTGGCATCACGCAATTCACGATCCCGGCGACGGACTGGCGCTTCGCTGCTACCATGGTCCTCGTGTGCATACCCTTCATGGCGCTCATCTTCCTCCTGCAGACGCGCGTGTTTGCCGTCGTCGTGGGGAGGCTGTGCCGGCTCGCGCGGAGGGCGGCCGCTTTCCCGTACAGATTGTTTGCGGGGACGGGGACGCTCGAGCAGGACGCGCCCGACAGCCGATCGGCTGACATGGCGAGGGGCCGCAAGAGGAGGCTCAGGATGAGAGTGGCGAGCGCAAACGCGCAGGCGGAAGTGGGCGCTCGGTGGAAGTGGCCGCGGCCGTGGCAGAAGCCACGCATGGTGGGAGAAGCGGACTTGGGCAAGGTGTGAAGGAACCGGGCTTGGCGGGAATGGCATCCAGATTGCTACTGTCGACATGCGACGCTGACCTGGGAACTCGATTCACACGATGGACCTATTGTCGACAGCACGTGTGGAACAACTTCCAACAGTCCTGGATCGTGGATCCTGGATTGGCCATCGGATCGAGTGAACGTGCCAGACATCAGCGGCACATTGGCCTAGTAAATGGCAAGCTCGTGCACAAACAAGCAGCCCTGCACCGTCACTTCGTCATAAAACAGTGCTCAACAAAGAACCTAGGCATGTGGTGTGTAGTTGTCCATGCTTTTTCTTATTCTCCGAGAAATGATACAACGACTCTTATGTAATCGCCCACCGTATGTATCCCTGTACCTCCCTGGATATCGTCCTGTTTCATAACCGTCATAGCTCTATAGTTCGTCCATCTACTGACCGACCAGCCTTGCTTGATGCGCAAACGCGCCCCATCCACGCTGAACTAGCATCCAAGAAGACGGATAAGCAGGATGCCGTAGCAATCTTTCGAAAAACGCTGGTGAGAAGGGGTGTGTCGACAACATGGTATCCTACCGCCAAGTTTATTAGGAAGCAACAGTGACCGGCTTGGCAGCAGGGGCGTCGGTCTGCTTTTCGGCACCATCCACCTCCATAGCATCGTCCTCATCAGCTTCAGTATCTCCTTCACCCTCCTCCTCCTCGTCGGGCTCCTCCTCACTCTCCCCATCAATATCGACACTGCCATCCTCGGACATTTCTTCCTCTTCTGGGCCGTATTCTCCCGCGTTTCCGTTCTCCTGTTCCACGCCGGCCATCTCGGCATCGTCCTCAGGCTGAGATTCAGCCTTTTGGGCGGCTTCGGCAGCAGCTTCTTCCTCTGCCTCCTCAGCACCATACTCCTCCCCGTCTGCAACAAGGTCCGCCTCGGGTTGCTCCGGGGGATATTCAGGAGGGGCTGAAGCCTCGGAATCCCTATGGAAATTCGTCAACCACGTAAAGACAAAACAAACAAGAAGCGGCTGACGGGCACACTCAACCTACCACTTGATGGCGAAGCGCGTGACGCGGGGCTTCTCAGCTAGCACGTTGCGCCGCACGCGCTCAATGATGGGTTTGGCCGGTGGCTCGGAATTAAGTTCCTCGGAGTCATATTCGTTGTTGACGTAGTAGCCTACGCGGACGAACTCGCGTCCGTCGTAAGCGCAGGTCAGGAGAACCACTGTAACCCCGAGAACATCGGCGTCGGGGATTCGCGTGGTTTTGGGAGCATCCGCTTCAAACAAGAACTTGTTCACGCCGACAGGGACTGGCCCAACCAGTAGAGAGTCGAGTTCCTGGTCATATTGATCGCTAGGATGCCAGGTTAGTTGCCGTCCATCGACTGGGTGTCAAGATGACGATGCCGGGGGGTGGGTCTCACGAGGTGGCAGAGCCGACGTAGGTAAGTTTCCATTCGAGATCTAGAGCATGGTCAGTTTTGCCATGGGATCTAGGTAGATGAATGTACGTTTCACAGCTCGCACCTTTCTCCAGCGCCTCCAAGCACTCAAATGTGATCTCAAACTCGTATTTGTCGGTAAATTTGGCGGGGTTGTTCACGACCTTGACACCGAGGAGCGAAACGACGGACATGTTGATGGAGTGTCTCTCTTGAGAAACGGTATGCTGGGTTTACGTCAACGAAGAGTAGGCGCGCAAGGGTAGGCGATGCGGATAGTTTGCAGTCGGTTGTGAGAGCAGCGGTGACGGGGTGCGGCTCAACAAGGCGGCGCGCAAACGGGCCGAATAACCTGCACACGGCGGCACGTCGTCGGGCTTTGGCAAAGACGAAACGCGCGACTGATGTGACGCAAATCGAGCGGTACTTTGGATTTGGACGCAGAACCCTGTCAGAAGCGAAGAAGGAGGCCGGCGTGGACTGCAGGAGAGCTACCGACAAGTTCTACGGAGTATGAAGGAGCAGAAAAACCGCAGGTTAGGGAGGCTCAATGAGGATCGGGTGCGTTGCTTGACGGCAGGTAAGCCTACAGGTTGCTTGGGATGGGACGCGCCCGCCACTAACGCGTTGAGAGGTCGATGGTGGGTCCCAAGTACCTGTAGGCACTTACCTAAGCTGCTTAAGTACTTTAAGTACTTACTTAAGTAAGTGTGAAGGTAAGTACTTAGACCGCTAACTCCGTACTGATCAACGTTTAGCAGTTGTGCGGCGTGGTCGTGGCCAGTTCTCCAGATTGGTGCCTTTTATCAGGCTCAAGCTGACGATGTGCAAGGGCAAGAAAAATTGGAAAGAAAGAAGACTACGCAAATCTGGGAGGCACCCAAGCGTGTATATATTGTAGTTCTATCATTCCCACCGCTGCCAGAGAGCGTGGTGACCTTCAAGTCGGCAACGGTTATGAGAGTACTTCGGTACCCAGGTACTTAAAAGGTACGTACGGAGAACGCTCATTGGTCTGTCCAGGCCCATGTCCCCCTGCTGCCGTCCAGCCACGGAGGACTCACCGCCCGCTCATTTCGCGCTGGCCATAGATGTTTTCTGCCCCCGCGACGAGCTTTCCCGGAAAATCAACACCTCAAGAGCTGTCAATCACAGCCTGACCCTGCCGCTGGTGCCAATATCCAGCGCAGGCTGCAAACCACGGTATCTCTATCGCCCGTCTTCTTGTTTTTCTTCTTCTTCACCCTTGTTACGTCCTTCGCCGACATCTTGCGCCTTCGCCGGTCGTGGAGAGCTAGGCTGGCTACTCTTGAATTGTCTGCTGAGTGTCCGAGCTTTGATTTCACCGAGTCGCCTGCCGGCATTACATGATCTTATCACGTCATCAGTTATTGAACCATTTTACTGTGCATTCTGTTTTCAGCCCTTTGGCCATTGCGCAACTTGAGTCCGCCTCGGAGACATTGTTCGTCTGCTTCTTTTGCAACTACCTCGAGACGAGATTGCAACCATTGCCTCGTTTGGCCTACAACTCCGTCGACGAGTACCTATATCGCCATCTCTCCATCATCCTCCGATATAAGCAATAATAGTGCGCTCGTGAAAATGGCCACAGATGATACTGCCTGGGAAGCGGTGCGCTCTGGTGTGGAGTATGATCCTCTTGCGCAACCGAGCGCAGATCTCGATCAGTCTGAGGAAACGTCGGAAGTGTTGAGCGAAGCCGCCGAGTGTATTGATGAGAATGAAGAAGATCAGGATGATGGAGGCGAATATGATCCCGAATCTGTCGGCCTGGATAGGGCTTCGCACATACCCGACAAGTCTGCCTCCGGAACACCGTCGCAAAGGTCGGCCAACAAACCTAAGATGTCAGGGGGTTTCTTGGTCGAGGCATCGGATGATGAAGAGGAAGATAATGAGAGTCCTCTACCTGGAGGACGAAAATCGGCCACTGCTAATGTCAACCAAACCAGCAATGAAGCCACGCTCATCCGCAGCGCTGACACGCTTCCTCATGTACCTCTTGGGCTGGCTGGAGTGAATCCTGCCAATCTTTTGGAGGCACGCATCCGGGAGGATCCGCGTGGAGATATGGATGCGTGGATCAACCTCATGGCCGACCATAAGCGTCGAGGCAGGCTTGATCAGCTTCGCCTACTATACAACCGTTTCCTTGACGTGTTTCCCCAAGCGGTAAGCTCTATCGTCTGAGAAAAGAATACGCCATTTCTTGACTGACCTAAAAATTCGTTTTCATAGGCTGATATTTGGGTCGAGTGGATTGAAATGGAACTGAATCTTGATAATTTTGTCGACGCTGAACAGCTCTTTGGTAGATGCCTGATGTCCGTACCCAACGTCAAACTTTGGACAGTATATCTTAACTACATTCGACGCCGGAATGATTTGACAAATGACGCGACCGGCCAGGCCCGACGTACCGTCACCCAATCGTACGAGTTTGTCATTGATAACATTGGAGTTGATCGCGATTCGGGCAGTATTTGGCAAGACTATGTTCAGTTTATCAAGAACGGCCCAGGTCAGGTTGGTGGCACAGGATGGCAGGATCAACAAAAGATGGATCAACTCCGCAAAGCCTATCACCGTGCCATTACAGTCCCTATGTCAACCGTCAATACTCTTTGGAAGGAGTATGATCAATTTGAGATGGGCTTGAACAAGATTACTGTCAGTGTTTCAATGACTATGCTGGCCTCGGCTCCTCCTCTTCTCTCTCTCTCTCTCTCTCTCTCTCTCTTGCTTTTGCAACTAACTAGCTGGAATAGGGTCGTAAGTTCATTCAAGAAAGATCACCGGGATACATGTCGGCCAAGAGTGCCAATATTGCTCTGGATAATATTACACGAAACCTGAAGAGAGAAAATCTTCCAAGGCTACCTCCCGCTCAAGGCTTTGATGGCCATGAAGAATTTCATGCTCAAGTTGAATTGTGGAAGAAGTGGATTTCTTGGGAATTGGAAGACCCCTTGGTACTCAAGGATGACGAGCCGAAGGTGTACAAGCAGCGAATTCTCTATTGCTACAAACAAGCCCTCATGGCGCTACGCTTTTGGCCTGAACTCTGGGTGAATGCAGCTGCTTGGTGCTTTGAAGCCGATATTCGAGAAAACGACAAGGTTATTGGAACTGAAATGCTGCTTCAAGGCATCAGCGCCAACCCGGAAAGCGTTTTGCTTGCTTTCAAGCACGCTGATCATGTCGAAGCAAGCTATCCTGAGAAGGAAGGGGACAAGTTCGAGTATGCCAAGGCGGTGCGGAAGCCTTACGACGCTGTTTTGGACACCCTCTACAAAATGGGTGATAAAGTCAAAGAACGGGAGAAACTCGAGGTCAACACGTTCAAGCAAGCTGCAGCCAATGAAAGCGCAGTGCAAGAATCAATAGAGGCCAACGACGACGACGACGACGATGATGATGAGGATGGGGATGAGAAGAAGGTCAGAAAGTCTCCCACAGAAGAGAGAATTTTTGCCATCCAACAGGCGTATGCTGCTGAGTCACAGCTGCTCTCAAAGACAATTTCTTATGTATGGATCGCCATGGCTCGCGCTATGCGACGTATTCAAGGGAAGGGCAATCAAACCGAGGGTGGGTTGCGCAAGGTTTTCACCGACGCTCGACAAAAGGGCCGTTTAACGAGCGACGTCTACGTCGCTGTTGCCTTGTTAGAATCGGTTGTTTATAAAGACCCCGTCGGGGCCAAAATCTTTGAGCGCGGTGCGCGACTTTTTCCGAATGATGCTGGCTTCATGATAGAATACTTGAAGTACCTCCACTCCAAGGATGACACCACAAGTGAGCCTCCTCAAGCCACTCCTGGTTAAGGTTTTCAGTTTTGCTAATCGATTGCGCAGATGCCCGAGTTGTATTTGAGACATGCGTGAACCGCTTGGTATCCAAGCCGGAAACTCTGCAAAAGGCCAAACAACTCTACGCTTACTTCCACAAGTATGAATCGCAGTACGGGGAGCTTTCGCAGATCTCGAAGCTAGAAGCTCGCATGGCGGAATTGTTTCCAGAGGACCCCAAGCTCAGCTATTTCACCTCCCGATACTCGTCCGAAACTTTTGATCCGGTAGCGGCGCCAATCATTATATCCAAGGCTGTGCAGATGCGGCCGAAGCAGCTCAACGCAGTGATTGAACAACCCATCTTAATAAGGGAAAGCATCCCGCCGCCCAGGCAGGAACACCAGAGCCCACGACCGCAATACATGCGGGCCACGGCGTCGCCCAAACGCCCTTTCGGCATCGAAGACGAGGATCCCAATCCACCAAAGAGGATTGCCAGGGGCGTCTCCCCCTTGAAAGGAGCAGCCGGACGGCGCCTCGACCAACAGCGCCGTAATCAAACATCGGCTCTGCCTCGAGACATTACTTTTCTCGTGGGTATCTTACCACCAGCACACACGTACGACGCAACGCGCCTCAACCCGTCCCTCATGGTGTCACTGCTTCACGACACCCAGCTACCGGACTATGCTTCTTGGAAAGCCAAAACGGGCGGTCAATACCGCATCCCCTCTGGAACCCACGGTAGGCAGGCCTCTGGGGACTTCGGCAACCGGCCGATCAGTCCGTACGGTCGCTTGGCTGCAGCATCGGCAGGCTACAGGAACTCGCCCCTGAGGCCAGAGAGCAGCAATGCGTTTGCTGCAAATATTTACGCCCCGCCGCCAGATGCAAGTGGTGCCACGGCTCCATGGCAGCCACCTCCTGCTGGCGTCTACGGAATACCACCGCCCGCAGGTCAATATGGGGGTTATCGATACTAAATTTTGACGAACTGCTACATGTACATGTATCCCCGAGAATTATTGACACATCAAGTTGGGCTAGGTTGCAGTTGGCACTGATGATTTTGCAAGGCGTTTGGTAGACTTTTGAAATGACCCTGCGAGATTCACATCGCCTCAAGGAAGGCTCTTGCTATCTAACGGGATATGGCTCGTCTTCAAAGCAGGGCTCAGATAAGGATATGGGTGTTTTGACAATCATGTAAACCTCTTACTGGGGGACAAGGGAAACAGCCTTCTGGTAGGTAGTTCAAATGGGACGTCAGCTAACACTTGTTCCTTGATATCCAGGGCTGCGGCTGCTCTGCCTCATCTCGTGCCAGCTGGTACAACAATCAGTGTGACATGCAAAAGGGCAGCCCGTTGTACAAGGACACGGATCCGTGGGAACACTCCATATCGAGCGAGGGTCGCTGCATCAACATATGCTGGGCTTATTGTTTGTTTCCTGCCTGCGGGCTGTGTTATCTTGTGAGGGTGACTGGACAAGCGTTTGCAAGTGCAAATATCGAACACGCCAGCTGGTAGACGTCTGTTGGCACGCACATGCAGGTGCAAACGCGCCGTATAAACAAACACTCGCCTGCATCTTTCCTTCCTTCCCTCTTTTCTCAAACATCTCTCCCAAATCTTCTTCATTTCACAGGCGCTCCATCCTCCATCTGATACTTGATTCACGTCATCGGCCCTCTTTCATTTCTCGCGCAATCGCGTCATCTCCATCAAATCATCGGACTTGGGAAATTCGTGAGTATTTTCTGCTCTTCTGTGCCCATTTGCACATTTGCCCACGTCATCAGGAGTTGTCTCGGCGCCTGGCATGTCTCTTGACCCGGAACGCTTCTTTTACGACAGAACCTACTTCATCACAGTTTGGAGGAAGGCCGAACCTTCCCGCCCCTGTTTCTCACTCCAAACAGCTTTTGGCAGCTTTGTACTACCCAGACTCCCTGGGCTTCAACCTATACCCGTGGTTCATATTGCAGCTTTCGCTCACTGTTTCAATCGTCGTGCAGCCCACTCCATTCTTTCCAGCGCATTGCTCGGTATATCTTTGCGCGATAACTCAGCCGTTCTTTTTCCCCCATTCTGAATCGGAAGGCCAATCTACTTCACTCACCATTCAACATCCTCCGCTGCGAACTTCGAGGTGTTGAACTCTCTAAAGTTTTCCGGAGATGTGAAACTTTTCCCCTACTGCGGTTTGCTTCCATTGCATCGTCTCAAAAAGCTAATGCTCTATAGTTCCAGCACCATGTCTGATCGTGGCCGGGCTCCCGGCCCCTCTGGGGAAGGCTCGTCTGGTTCTCGGCCTCCCTCCAAGGCACGTCAAGTTTCTGCCCCAGGAAGTCGAACGGGCTCGCCTTCGCCGTCTGGATGGGCCCCAGGTCTTGGCTACGATCCCGCCAAACCACTTGCTCAGCCCGACAAGGGAAACACCAGGATGGAACTGCCCCCCGATGCCTACGTAACCGAAGGGCAAAAGGATATATTTGCTTTGAGAGGCAATAAATACAACACAGAGGGTAGCAAGGCCGTTGTTGAAGTGAACCAGTATCGAATGAAGAAGTTCGGCTTCCCAAGGAAGATTTACCAATACGATGTAAGATGCTAAAGTTTCCCTTCTGTACCCAAAAACAATGACTGAATAGCTCTCAGGTGATTATTTCTCCAGATCACGAACGAAAGTCGGTTCTCATGAAGAAGATTTGGACCAACGCAGCTACAAAGACAGCGTTGCAAAAGTACCAATACAACATGTGGATCTTTGATGGGCGTAAACTCGCCTGGGCACCAGGCATGGTTGATCGTGGTGAAATTCGTTTCACTGTCGACCTGGATGAGGAAAAGCGGCCACCCGGTGCCACGGTACGAGAAGGCGCTCGGTTTCACGTGACCCTGCGAGCAACTACCGAAGTCCAAGTCGGCGCAATTCAAGGATATTTGGATCGCAAGATCCAGTTCAACACAAATGTCCAGGTCGCACTGAACTTTATGGACCATGTCTTGCGTCAATGGCCGTCACAGCATATGACGGCCATCGCAAGAAAATTTTACAGTGCCACGGAGCGTGGCCGGCCTCTGCTGGACGGCAACGTTCTCGAAGTTCACAAGGGGACGTATGCCTCTATTCGCATGAGCCACAATATTGCTCGCGGCGGGACCGGCTTGGCCCTTAACGTTGATGTTACTAACACGGTGTTTTGGACCGGGCCCCAGCCTGTAGACCAACTCATGTGCAACTTCCTAGCCTTTTGTGATCGTAGGTGGAAGGGTCTGAATCCTTCGACAGTCAGTCAAGTGCTTCGACCTGTGAGAAACAAAGATGGCCGATATCAGTCATCAGATGCATTTAAGAACTTACGAAAGTTGAGAAAATTGAAGTTTACTGTCACGCATGCCAATCGACCTCCAAGTAACAAAGTATACACCATCATGGACTTCGCTTTTGATGAAAAATATGGAGGCGAGGGCGCCACGGCTAGAACTGTCACTTTTGACTACAATGGAAACCAGATTTCAGTCGCCGACTATTACAAACAAAAGTACAAGGCGCATCTGAAGTACCCTAGTCTTCCTCTCATCTTCGCTGGCAGAGGGGGGTTTGTGCCTATGGAGTTTGCCATTATCGAGCCGATGCAGCGTTACAGCTTCAAGCTTACGCCTGACCAGACGGCTGCCATGATCAAAATTGCAGTCACAAGGCCTCAGCAGCGTCGGGCCGACACTGAGAGGAACTACCAGGGCCTTCAACTGTCGACAGATCCATATTTGAAACAGTATGGGATCGAATTTGAAACTGCATTCACCCAGACTGAAGCTCGAATTCTACCACCCCCCCAAGTCAACTTTGGGCAGGGAAATGCAGATCCCAAGTTTTCAGGTCGCTGGGATCTTCGCGGTAAGAAATTCTGGAAACCGAATGTTGCGCCGTTGCAGAATTGGGCCTTCATCGTTATGGATGCCTGCGTTGGCTACCCGCAATTGCAAAATTTTGCAAAAACGTTCCGCAACACGTTCCTTTCCCATGGGGGCAGATGCCCGGCAGATGCCCTCTTGTTGAACGTGCCGGGAGATGTGAAAAATGATGTCGCTCAAGCCATAGCCTGGGCTCACAAGCAAATCTGCTCGCAAAGGGGCTTCACACAGTTGCTCTTCGTGGTTGTTCAGCACAAGAACAGCCCCCATTATGAACGGCTCAAGAAATCTGCAGATTGTCGATTCGGCATACTTTCGCAGGTTGTCAATGGTGCGGCAGTCGTCAACAACAATGGCCAGTACCACTCCAATGTGTGTATGAAGGTCAATGCCAAGCTTGGGGGAACTACCTCTCGCACTCTCCCACCATGGAAAAGTCAGCCAACCTACTTTCCAAAGGACCGCCCAACAATGGTCATTGGCGTCGACATCTCGCACGGGGCCCCTGGAGGTGGCTCGCCGTCTACGGCTGCCATGACCATGTCTGTTGACCGGGACGCAAACAGATATGCCGCCGTGGTGGAATCCAACGGGTACCGTGTGGAGATGCTTACCGCCGCAAATGTTCACTTTATGTTTGGGCAGTTGGCCAAATATTGGATGGCTGGTCATGAAGGTGCTTTCCCCAAGCACATCATTTACTTTCGAGATGGTGTGGGTGAAGGACAGTTTGCTCAAGTCTTGGACCAGGAAATTCGGGAGATCAAGACGTATCTCCGAGAAAAGGCGCCAAGTGCTCAATTACCCAAGTTTACCGTGATTATCGCCACTAAAAGACATAGTATCCGCTTCTACCCACAGCGGGGAGACAGAAATGGCAATGCACTGCCAGGGACTCTTGTTGAGCATGAGGTAACTCATCCCTTCATGTGGGACTTTTACCTGTGTTCGCATGTCGCCATTCAGGGTACAGCCCGGCCTGTACACTATCACGTCATCCTGGATGAAATGGGGACTCCAGTCAATGACTTGCAGAAGATGATTTATCAACAATGCTACTCATACGCTCGCTCCACTACACCTGTTTCTTTGCATCCGGCTGTTTACTACGCGCACTTGGCAGGTGCCCGAGCACGAGCACACGAGAACATTGCCACCAGCGAAGGATTTAGGGCTGGTGGCAAGGGTCACGAATTAATCCGCGACCAAATTGCCAGGGGACAGACAATGGGGGGCCCGCCGCGAGGAACGGATGCGCCTCCGCTGCTTCAGCTTGGAGGAAAGCCGGAGGGAGACAAGCCGCCTGCCGACGGCGAGATGCGACAGAGAGATTTCTTTAGGGGCACCATGTGGTACATCTGATTATCAGAGTTAAATTGAGGTTCTTCGTTGAGGAGACGCAGGAAGACGAGATGAAAACAACAAAAGGGGTGATCAGATCAGTTTGGCTGGAGATGGCGGCGGAGGTCTTTTTTCTTTGCTTTTCTGTCTTTGTGTCACTGAGCACTCGGACTGGCCATGCAAACTGGCCATGGCAACGAGGATAAAACAACCAAGGGGATGATCAACATTCGGACTGGCTATGCAAACTGGCCATGGCAACGAGGATAAAACAACCAAGGGGATGATCAGCTTGGCTGGAGATGGCGGCGGAGGTGTCTTCTTTTCTTTTCTTTTTCGGGCGTTTTTTTTTTCAAGCTGCACACTCACTCATAGCTCTACATATACTCTTGCTCTAACAAAGCCCCCCTAGCCTCAGTGGTGTCAGTGACGAGTAACTGTGAACCGACATTTTCAGATTCAAGCACAGGGCCAACCGTGTGAGTAACGGGTACGAGGGGATTCTTGAATAACTGTAGGCTTTGAATACCAAGGCGTGCAACCGTGATATGGGCGAAAAGATGCACTCATTATAAAACGGAAAAAACTAATGACACTTTGGGAGGTAGTCGGTAAATATTTGCGACGCTTCTTCATTCGCTTTGCAACGCTGCCAATCAAAAATGGCCAGGTCATGACCAACAAACGCATAGAAGAAGAAACGGTTCAATGACTTCTAGTCGCGACTGTCAAAACAGCCAGTTGAGCACCCTCTTCGCCTTGGATTGCCAGCCCTTCTTCTCCATGACCGGTTCCTCGTCAGACGTATGCACATCAGTGACGAGATCCATGTGCTCCAGTTTTACCCATTTCGTCTTCTTGACCAGCTTCCAGACCACGTACATGATCAACATGACGGGCAGTTCAACGTAAAAGCTGACAAAGCTCACGGCATCAAACTTGGGACTGAAACAGCTCCACCCCTGGATGAGGACGAGGAAACTGTTGAGCAAGACGGACAGCCACGGTCCGTAGGGGTAGGTCCAATTCTTAAAGGGGAGGAGATGCGTCTTGCCTTGGCGCTCGAGGCCGGCTCGGAATCGGATCGACGCCAGGCCGATTGCGATCCAGGACAGTTGGTTGGAGACGCCGACCAGACTATGTGTCATGTTAGCGACGACAAGAACGATGCTTGCGGTGCTTGAGAGAGAAAAGAAGAAGAAGAAGACTCCTAGGCACTGTGGATGCGTGTCCGAGACTCACTTTTGCAACCAGGTCCAAAGTTGACCGGCTCCAATGAAACTCGAGCCAAAGCACAGCCCGGCAACAAAGCTTGTGGCCAGCACAGACACCCACGGGACTTGGTTCCTGTTGAGCTTGCCAAAGACGCGCGGCGCATGGCCTGCCATTGCGAGCGTGTACAGCAGTCGCACGCCCGCAAAGAGGGCGTGGTTGCCCGCCGACAGGACGGACGTGAGAACCACGGCGTTGACGACGCTCCCGGCGGCGTGCGCGCCCGTCATTTCGAAAACAATGGTGAAGGGGGACGTGCTGGCCTTCTTGGTGCTGAGGTTGGGGTAGTTGTATGGGACGTTGAGGCCGATGAGGAGAACGGAGAGGACACTATGATGAACCGGGTCAGCCGAGGGCTCGGGAGGCCGCAGCGAGGGTTTCAGCAGCACGCGTACTAGAAGAGGAGAATCCGCCAAAAAACATTCTTTACAACACGGGGCAGGTTCTTGGTCGGGTTCTTGGTCTCTCCGGCGGTGATGGCAATGGATTCCGTGCCACCGTCTAAAAACGGCATCAGACTTCACTCGCGCTCTCTTTTGTCTTGGCTGCATGTCTCACTCACAGGCAAACGAAGCTGTCACAAAGACCGAGGCGAAGCCGCCAATGCCGCCGACAAAGGGCGCACCAGGAATGTGCCAGTTCTCGCCGCCGATGTAGTGGCGGTCACGGTTCCCGCCACAGTTCACGACGATACCCATGACAATGAAGACCTTGGTCAGTGTTAGTCCTGGGCGGGTGATGGCCGTGACCAAGACAACCGGCACTCACGATAATGGTGATGACTTTGAGTAGGCTAAGCCAATACTCGAGCTGGAATGAAACTGTCAGCACGCACAATGTTTCTCATGCGCAAGAGACGGTCGGTTGACGGTCTAGCATGTCTCACCTCACCGTAAGCGCGGACAGTAATGACATTGACGGCAATCAGAACGCCCCAGAAAATCAGACTCAGCGCCCATCCGGGGAAGTTTGTCGTCCAGTACTCCAAGACCAGCTGGAGCGCTACCAGATCCGCTGCCGTCGACACAGCATCGTTGAACCAGTAATTCCACGTCAGTGCAAAGCCAAAGGCGTCATCGACGAATCGCCTGGGGCGTCGCGTTTTCTTCCCGTCAGCCGTCGAGGAGCAACTAGAGAGGCCGGAGGGGCTTGCTTACCCGGCAAAGGAACAGAAGCTGCCGGCGATGGGAATGAAAGCGGCCATCTCGCCCAGACTCAACATGGTGACAAAGACAATGGCACCGGTGATGGCATAGCAAATCAACAACGAGGCCGGACCACCCGTGGCCAGTGACTTTCCCGTGCCCAAGAACAGGCCGGTGCCGATAGTGCCGCCAATGGCAATCATCTGCACCTGACGAGCCGACAGGACACGTCTCAGATGATCCGACTCCTTGGCCATGGTGCCGTGCTCGATATGCTGGGGCTCTGCATGCCGGCCATCCGAGTCCATGTCGTCGCCGGCCATCTTGCCCACCACCTCGGACGAGCCGGGCGCCCGGGAGTAGCTCTTCGCCATGATGAACGGACGAATGTTGAGCAGGGGAGAAGAGTGAATGAAGGGGAAAAGACGACTGACACACCCATGCAAGACGGGCACGAGGGCGATCGGGTCGGGAGGAGCAAAGATGCGGGGGAACCGGAGGGCTTGCAGATACTAATCAGCCCAGAAGCGGCAAAACCGACATGTCGACCACAGCGGGTTGTGATGAGTTGATTGATTGTGGTGGTGAGTCAGGGTACACAAGTCCCGTCAAAGTCTGTGATGCGGTTTCAGCCGTGCCGGGGCGAATGCAACGGTAACGGCGAGGACGACTTGCTGGGCGGCGGATTCTAGAAGAACGGAAGCATCGACGACGAACACTGGAGCGTCGAGAGTCGAGACAGAGCACGCGACGCCTGTTCAAATAGCCTCGTCACTCCAAGCGAGGTTGAAAAGAGCTCACACTGGGGCATGATGACGTGCTCAAAGACGATCCACAGCGCCTGTCCAATTCGGTAATCTGCCAACGTCGATGCATAAATCATAAATCTTAAAATACACAACCGGTTGAGGTATTGGTGCGCTAGTAATATCGCCCCATCGTGTTGAAGAAAAAGCTCGCGGCAAAGTCTGCGCCACGCTTCCGGGCGGATCGATGGACCGGTGGACCTTTTTTTGCCTGCCGTCTCCACATGCAACTTCGACATCGGACGACAGTTCTTGACTTTGACAAGACCACTTTGGTCTTCAACGTGCTTGGGTTGCTTTTCCTCAATTTCAAAAACCCTCGTGTCCAAACATCACAGCCCTTGTGTAACCGTGTGACAGGCATAGTCACCGACCACGAGGCGAGGTGGGGGTTCCCGTTCGCAAAGGCCAGTCTGCAACATGGCTTTCTCTCAACGAATCAAAAGTGAACATTCTTAAAGACGTAACAACAAGTCTGTATTGTGATTTGTATGCTGTTTACCAAAACTGGTCCCTGTTCAACTTGGGTGTTGGTCAGGCGAGCCGTCGACAAAGAGAAACCGGCAAGTCTACCTTCAAACGTCCCAATACCCAAGAAGAAACACGGAGCATACGGAACCGAAGTTGCAAAGAGTCGATCTGCCGGCTTGTGACCAACGTCAGGAACAAGCCCGTCTAATCCCGCACGGCAGTCCTGTTTGTTTGATCATCCCCAACAACTCCAGTGAGGGCTTCTCTCCTCTTAAGAATGTGGAGCCCTTCTTCCATCTTGAGAATTCGTTTGGGCTGATGGTTCTCCGCCCAGCCGGATTCGATCAATGTTGGAGTTGACTTGATCTTCAAGCATGTCGTTCACGCGCTCTCTGCCGAGAGCCTCTCTTTCTTGTCTGTTATTTGGAGGAAGATGGGAACAGCTAAGTAGTGTAAGCTTCTCCCCACCCTCTCATCGGGTTTGCAAGGCCTTGGAACTCTAGACTTACTGAGGTCCGCATCCCCAATCGGCGTCGTTTGATTGGGGTGGCATCTTTTGGCGCTTGGGCAGTAGAGACAAAAAAAATCAAAGCCAAGGCAACTTGACAAAAGGACGAATAGAGCCACAGAATAATGACAGAAAATCATTAAATGGTATTCTCGAGTAGTTTTGGAGGAGCCTGATAGTTGGTCTCGAGATGCAAGATGGCATCTTTGCTGGAACAAGGTCAGAGAAAGCGGACCCATTTATACAAACTGCACAGAGCTGGACAAGCTGTTGCTCGCCGTCGCGGATGGCAAGTTTTGATAACATTCATTTTGAAATTAGATTCAGAACAAACGTCAAAAGACAGCATCTGCAGGAACCATGTCAAGATTGTCATCCCCTTGGCGGGTCCTTGTCTGTGCTCTGCTTCCCACGGCCGAGAGGAAGCGAAGCGAAGCGTGCTTTCGTGGGCAAAGAACATTGAGACAAAACCCGAAAAGGGGGCAACAGGAGGTGCGAGGACCTCTGTGAGGAGCAGAAAGCAAATCTGTAGTCCTGAAGTGCCCGGGATATTAGGGATTAACTTCCTGCTGTCTCCCCCTTTATTACGGAAAATGAACAGATGGAGAAAATATACCCATGTTTGGAGCCCAACGTGGCAGCGTTCAATCTGGTGGGCGCCTTCGTGTCCAACGCGACGCAACGGTCGTCGTTGTGTTGGTCAAACGAGCATACGGCAAAGCTGGAGTAGACATTTGATGCGACGGACTTTGAAAATGTCTCGTAGGCCAAGTCGCAGCGAGCTGTAAAGGAACAAGAAGCCAGATCGTCAGACTGAGTCGAGCTCGAGGCAGATCGTCAAACCTTGACGGGAATTGCGGGGAGGTGAGTGCGTGACTACCCCTTTTGTCCATTTCAGTGTTCCCTACAAGGCAGGCGCCACTCATCGACTTTCCATGTTCCCAAGTACTGCCAGACCCGGCAACCTGGACAGGGGGGCGCTACGTTGCTCCCTGTCCTTGTGCTGTACAACCTCCTGCCATCGTTCTTGTTCTCCCGTCACATCTTGAATCTAAGTATGTATCTTTGAGAGTTGACAGTCACTACGGAGTACCTGGCTGCATTTTGCCCGGACTTCGCATTACGCCAGGCTACCGATAGTGACGCGGCGAATAGCATGGAGCAGGTCCCTCGACCTGCCTGCAGTATATATGTGCAAAGCCGATCAAGACTCATTTCTCGAGCTGAACCTCACGGGGCCGGCAATGACTGGCGGCACACTAGAAAGATGCTTGACGCTTCCATTCGGGTTTTGATGCTCGGCGCCTTTGAAGCTCGAATACTACAAGGTCGAGTATGGCCATACCGAGAACACGTGTCGTCTGTCTACCACGCTAAAACCAGGACTAGAAATTTATCACAGAGATATGCAAATTCATGACACAATAGGATGATCAACTGCAAGCCGCATTTTATGGCCATCGTGGAACGCGAAAAGACAGCCACAGGGATAGTCAGGAATAGGAACAAGCTGATGAGAAGCAGCTGACCAGAACAGAGAGGAAAAATTTATGCGTTGGAATGGCAAAGCACACGGCAAAACTGAGGCCGTTCACACAAGGCTTACCACCAACATGCGGCTGCATTAGCTTGCATATGCAACACTGAGCGTTGTCACACGTTTGGTAACACAAGGGCTGTGACGAGGAGACCCAGGGCATCAAGGCACACTGCACAGGTAGAAGTTCTTGGTCATCTAGGCCTCGCGGGAAACCAAGAACCTTCAATACTAAACTAAAGTGTGTTATTACGGTTGAATCAAGTCATTGCCCCAAGCCGCGAGTCAGATACACAAGGTCGAAGGGACGACCAACAGTCCCGGACGAATTTGATCGGCGAATTGTGCGACGAATAGTAGACGGAGCACTCTAAATACGGCCAGAAGGATGCTTTGCCTGCAAATGTGTCTGCACGTTTGACTGCAGTCGCCGGAAATGAAAATCAGTACCGAGAATATGGCAGCCAACGACGGCTCACAACGGCCTAGAGGGCGCTCGGCGGCCGCAAAGGCCCAATGCCTCGCATGGAAGGGTAAGGCGTTGATGTATGAGAAGATTGAGCAATAGCTGCCATGACTGACTCGCGCGTCACTGGTTTTCACTCGGCAAAAAGACGCTGATACACCGCTCCAAGCATGTGCCGCCGCCATATAGAGGCCGCCAGACGGTGCAAATGACATTGAAGGGAACACAAGGTGCTCGCGCCATCTGTGAGGCGTCATTCTCAAGCCATACGTGTTGCTTCCTACTTGGCGCAATGATTAACCGGCTACTCGGCACGTGGCGGAAGGGATCAAAGACCCCCGATGTATCATATCATGTCTGGCCAAGACATCTCATCCAACCGAAGTCCCCGACCGCGTCGGAGATGGGTATGAAACTATCACCACATGCTTGCGAGGGTTGGACTCGCTCTTTTTGCGTTTCCAACAGTCAGCTCACTCTAACAGACAGGAGTGCAAGTGACGTCGGAATATTTCACCGTTATCCGTAAAATCCGCAAACGTGGACTCACACATCAGACCGACCTCTGTGTCACACTGTTACACACACAGATGAGGGTGACACAAGGGCTGCAGTCACGAGACCTAGGGCAGAAGGCTGCTGCATGAATAGAAGCCTGTGGCCGCAAGGACCTTTGGAAAACCCAGGGACCTTTAACACCAAAAGTGTGTCATATGCGAATCGAGCCAATGTGTCCATTGCATCGGGACGGCTGAATCTTGAAATATACTACTTCATGTCGCGGTATGTTGAAGTATCGTCTGCGAGGGCCGGGCTTAGAAGGCAAGGTGTTGCAGAGCTTCACAATGTCACGCCCTGTTACTGAGCAAGAACTCGAATGCTCTTGCTGGAGCGTAATGCGGCGGCCCTTTCAATAAATAAGCTCGGGTCCGGTGCCTGAACCTTGACTTTCTGTTGTTGGAACTCGTGACAAAAAGCCACACTCGACACTCATGACCCCCACTGTACGGAGTACTTATTACCACATTGTTTGATGGGCCCTACTGCCGCCCCACGCCGCCTTCCCCGCCTGCCTAGGTTAAGTAGGTACCTAGGTAGGTAGGTACCTAGGTACTTACTTAAGATAGGTGCCTCGCTCGGTACTGTCGGCCTTTGTAGATCCTCTGAGCCACCCCGTGCCGTGGTGGGCCTTCCGCTGTCGCCCTGCACGCTCCCTCCCCACCCCCACCTCCACCCCCGAAACCCAAACCGAACCACCCATTTCCGACTCACCGAGACGGTCGACGAGAGGAACTATTCATTCCACGCTGCGGGGAAACTAAGCAAGCACACAACACTTGGCCTGAACCATGATGGTGACGGCGCCGCACGCAGCCTTCGTTTGATGGCACTCGTCCGCGTCGTGGCCGCCAAACAATTCAACGGACCAGGCAAGCAAGAACCGGCTCCAACTTTGTCGTCAAGCTTCTTGAACGCGAAAACTCTGCTGCGGCATGCGAGGTTATAAATAAAGCGTCCCGTCTTCTTTACCGCTCCGTCCCTCTCTGCCAGCTTCATTGTTCCCGCTTCCTCTCTTGCAATCCCACTGTGGCAAACATCGATATCCATCTCCACTCAAGGCTCGAGAGTCGAGACACGCCGCCGCCATGAGGCCTGGGCGAGCTCTTCGATTCGTGGCCCTCGCCCTCGGCGGGATGTCGCTGTCCTCTGCTGCGAGCTTCTACAACAACACGCGCGATCGTCTGCTCGATTGCCCCGGGTACCGTACGGTCAAGGAAACCAAGGTTGGCGGCGGCGGCTATCTGGAACTGGAACTCGACGGGGAACCGTGCAATGTCTACGGCAAGGATATTCGGCGCCTCCAAGTCAACTGGACCGTGGAAAGTCGTCAGTATTCTCAACTGCCTCAGCCGGATTGGCGGGAAGCACGAGATAACTAATGCCCATGCAGGCGATCGCATTCACGTCGTCATCTTTGATGCAGATCAGGAAGCCTACCAGGTTCCCGAATCCGTCTTTCCGCGCCCCGGTCGTAGCAGCAGCCTCGGTCCGAAGCTGGAGTTTGATTACACCCCAAGCCCCTTCACTTTCAAGATCTTTCGCAGGAGGGACGAGTCGGTCCTCTTTGACTCCTCTGCAGCAGGTATGGTCTTTGAGGATCAGTACATCCGTTTGCGCACTGCCCTGCCCTTCAACCCCAACCTGTACGGCCTAGGAGAGCACTCTGATTCCTTTCGGCTCAAAAACACCAACTACACGCGTACGCTGTGGAATGCCGATAGCCCTTCTGTCCCCAAGGGCTGGAATCTCTACGGCAGCCACCCCATGTACTTTGAACAGCGTTCAAGGTACACTCACGGCGTCTTCATGCTCAACTCCAACGGCATGGATATCGTCGTCGACCGCGACGAGTGGAGCGGCTTTCTAGAGTACAACATGGTCGGCGGAGTCATCGACTTGTGGTTCTTTGCCGGGGAATCGCCCGTCGACGTCGCCAAGCAGTATTCCCTCGTCACACAGCCCCCGGCCATGGTGCCCTACTCTGCCTTGGGATTCCACCAGTGCCGATTCGGCTACCAGGATGTTTTCAACGTTGCCGAGGTCGTTCACAACTACAGCAAAGCCGGTATCCCTCTCGAGACCATGTGGACGGATATTGACTACATGGATGGACGGACTGTCCGTGACCCCCCAATGCACTGCTCACTCCATCCTCGTCTTGTCACGCAAATAAATCATGCTAACCTTGGTCTAGGTCTTCACCGTGGACCCTCAGCGGTTTCCCTTGAGCAAAATGCGTCAGCTTGTAGACCACCTCCACGCCAACAACCAAAAGTTCGTCCTGATGATTGACCCCGGCATTGCTTCCAAGGACTATGGCCCCTACAAAAGAGGCCTAGACTATCCGCCTTCCTTCCTCCTCAACGCGAGCATGTTACCCTACGAAGCCGTCGTGTGGCCAGGCCGCACAGTCTTCCCGGACTGGTTCGCCTACGGCGTCCAACAGTACTGGAACAAGGAGTTTGAGCTTTTCTTCAACCCCTTAACAGGCATCGACATTGATTTTTTGTGGATTGACATGAACGAGCCCAGCAACTTTTGCGACTGGCCGTGCACCAACATTGACGAAGTCGCTGCGCTGTATCCTCCTCCTCCGCCGCCTGTTCGGACACCGCCGAGAGAGCTGCCCGGGTGGCCGTGTGGCCTCCAGCCGCCAGGTAAAAATTGCACCTTGAAAATCGAACAGAGGCCCCGATTGAAAGCCCGGACCTGGGACGCCTGGCGTCACTGGAAATGGAAAATGAGGCGGAGTCATTATCCCCAGCCCAATAACTTTGAGCAGCCTCTGCTGCCCGACATTGGCCCCAGTACGCGAACGACGCCACAGTGGAAGGACAAATTCCTAGGCTTCCGGAATCGTTCTCTCACCGACCCTCCGTACACGATCAACAACGCCTGGGGTCCGCTGCCCCAAAAGACGATCGACACGCGCCTCATGCACTTGAACGGCCTCAGGCTCTACGATACGCACAATCTCTACGGGACCATGATGGCTGCTGCGTCACGCAGAGCCATGATCGCTCGGCGCCCTGACAGGCGGCCCTTGGTCGTGACTCGCTCTACCTTTGCTGGTTCTGGAGCCCACTCCGCGCACTGGCTGGGCGACAACGACTCTAGCTGGGAGCACTACCGCCTGAGCATCCGGCAAATGCTGCAGTTCAACTCCATGTTCCAGGTCTCCATGGTCGGGTCCGACGTCTGCGGCTTCAACGGGGATACCAACGAGGAGCTCTGTGCGCGCTGGGCGATGCTCGGGGCCTTCCAGCCATTTTACCGCAACCACAACTCAGAGGGACAGGTCGACCAGGAGTTCTACCGGTGGCCGGTGGTGACTGCGGCCGCGAAGAAGGCCATCGACATCCGGTACAGGCTGCTCGACTACTTCTACACGGCCATGATGCAGCAGAGCCTGGATGGGACGCCCTCCATCAACCCCATGTTCTACTTTTACTCCAACGACGCAAACACGTGGGGGCTGGACCTGCAGTACTTCTACGGGCCCGCGCTTCTTGTCGCGCCCGTCACGACGAAAGGAGAGACGAGCGTCAACATTTACTTCCCCAACGACATCTTCTACGACTTCTACACGTACGAGCAGTATTACGGGACGGGACAGTGGACCATCAAGAGGAACCAGAGCACGACGGATATCCCGCTCTACATCCGGGGTGGGCAGATCATCCCGATGCGCGCAAGCAGTGCCATGACAACGGCCAAGCTTCGCGAGCAGGACTTTGAAATACTCGTTGCTGTCAACTTCCAGGGCAGGGCCACGGGAACATTGTACCTGGACGACGGGGAGTCCCTGCTCGGGGAACGCTCGACAATCAAGTTCTCGTACAAGAAGGGCAAGCTCCACCTCCGCGCAGACATGAAGTACAAGACCAACGCGAAGATTGTCAAGGTCACAGTCTTGGGCAGTTACAAATGCGGGCCGGGGGAGTCTTCGTGCTCGATGGAGCTGAACCACCCAGTCGGGAAAAAACTCGTGTTAGACATCTAGGTCCCGGCAGAAGACGTAGCCCTTTTTGGCTCGAGTAGAGCACAGGTGGAAGAATTGAAGACGCTTAGCCGCGCGCTGTCCCGGCGGCACAGCACCAACACTTGGTCAGTCGGTCTCGCGGGGAGGAGGGGAGCGTGAACAATCCTCTTTAATTCACTTTGTTTAGCATAATAGCACAATATAGCTAAGTGACTAGTTATAAGCTAGCTCCAAGTAGGCTTGTAGATGTGAAAGGAGAAGAAGTTCTGCAGCAATAGTGGGAGGTTAAGACATTAATCTAGTTATTACTATCATCCTACCCAGCCATAGACTTGCTAGGCTCACGCGTGACTCTGTGTGCGTCAATTAAGGGCATTTTACTGCTATATACTCCGTATTTATACCAAGAATATACTATAGCGCATGGCAGCAGGGCCGCTAGACCAAAAACAGGGCGGGTGGGGTATTGAGCGCCCCGAGCAAAAATGGTGAGCGCCCCGAGCAATCGACGCGCCACCTAGCCTGGTTCAGCAACCACACACCCACGGGCGCCCGTCTCATGTACACCTGTCGATCGCCAAGAGCCGGTCAGGGCTGATGAAGCGTTCTCGCCATGGCAGCGCTGCCGCAAAGAGCGTCGACAAATACAAACGCTAAACACAATGCTTCTGGAGAAGACGAGCAATATTTCGAAGATGAGCAGCCGCTGCTTGAGCCCTCACCAATCTGACCTTGCACAGGCCGTCAACTGGTGGGCAATGCACTCAACCTCGACAGCACCATCTTCTGAGAGAGACATGGCAATGACTGATGTAGCGTCTTAGGTTTCCCGGGACCTGCATCATCTGGTCTCTTCCCCCGAGACGTAAGGAAGCCGTCTGGCTTTTACGGAGACGATGGCGGTCTTGAAGCCGGCTCAAACTTTGAGCCAGGCGCATTAGCCTCAAGGCGGCAATTCTTCAAGCTTCCATTCCCGCCGCATCTATTGTCTTGAATGGTACACAAACGCCGCCAACACCATGGCGATGAGCGCTGGGCTCGGTCTCCTCCGGGGCATGGGCGACCGGGGAAATAGCCGCTTGGAAATTGCACTCGGGCCGTGATCCGATCGGCAGCGGCCACCAAGCGCCTTCCCCGCGGCACGGGCGGTCTCATCTTGACGATGACAGGGTCTGATGGTAGCGTGGCGGCTGACCAGGACCTGCGCGGGTGCCCTTGCCTGCCACGGGGTCCATCAACGAGGCCGACGGTGCGTTTGAGCAGACGCCGACGTTCCCTGTCGTTGATAACAGCTCGCCTGACGAGGCCTTTTGTGACGAAAGCGTTACGGGCGGCATGGGCTACGGGCTGTGGGAGGAGGGATTTGCTCATCCCGCAATGGACTCGGACTTTGACCCGGCGCAGAGCCAGCAACAGGGCCATGTGCGCACTGCTCTTGGGGGATTCGTGTACACGAGTAATTGGAGCATGAAATGACGTGGCTTGCGGCATTATACCGTGGCATATCTATTGGCATACGCGGCACATGGCGGCAGGCGAGCATGAGCGTGTAGTGTAACTTTGCAACGTTGGACAGCAAGGCAGGTACTACGGAGTAACTACCAGACAACATGATGATTGGGTACCACCAGTAACATGTACGACAATGACCTGTCCGGTGCATTTTAGTACCTAGATGTGAAGAGTACGGAGTATTGACTGGAGAGCCGGGGGCCTCGAGACGCAACGGGGCGCCGCTCTGATGAGAATCTTGACTGATGTGTCCTGGCCAGTCCCTGCTCAACGTTGTGTATCGCCAGTTCCTGCACACCACGTCCGAATCCACTGGTCCCAGTGTCGATGCGAGAACGGAGATGCGCAGAGCGAACGATGCCCCAGTAGGTGAGGTACAAGTACAGGCAGAGGGTGCAGCGGCGCACACCAGCGTAGCCATTGCGCCTGGGACCGAAGGCGGAGGAGGCGCATGTCTTTCGTGGTTGACCGAGACGGAATCGACCGGATTGTGAGTTCCGACACCTTTGTTTTTCGACGGGCAACTGAGACGTATTCCCATGATGCCCCCCTCCCCTCCCCTTTCTGTCGGCGACGGCCGGCGCCAGAGGACGCAAGGCATGGATCCTCCAGAATCCAGATGGGCGGCATCATCCCCTTGCTCGTGTCCTCTCCTCCATCATCTGTTTCGCGCTGCCAACGACCCGTCCGAGGCCTGCTTGCTCGCCGCCGACGAGAGACGCCCCGTGCAAGTGCGCGCCATCCAGGCGGCCTAGTACGTGGGCGGCGAGGCCTTCGACTGGGCCGAGATTGCGTCGCCCCCGAGGGGACCCCAAGCCGTACCTCGCCGTACCCCGACGCGGCCGTAACATTCTGCCGGGACATCCTGGTACGGCTTCGGCATCTTGATGCCCTCTATCGTCGTCAGCGTGGGCTACTCCGCCGTCGAGACCCTGTACATCAGCGTGCCCGTCGAGTTCTTCGGCACCTTGGCCGTCCACAGCCGATCCCGCCCGAGTTTGACTTGGCTCAACGACAAGATCGTGCCGCAATGTCGTCGTGCCACCGCCATTGGCGTGTACCTAAGCATCGGGAAGTCGGTCCTTGTTGTGGCCGGGCAGATTTTCCGCAAGGCGCCCTCTGGTTTTTTTGTGTCACGGCTTCTCCGTGTCGCAGCTGGTCATGCTCAAGTGGTCTTACCTGAAGCATTGTAAGAGGACAAGAGGAGATTCGCCGGCGGGGATGAGGACGATACGAGCAAGGCGAGGACTGGTGGTGGCCAGCTGGAATTCAAGTACCACAAACAACAAGGGCGGCTGCATAGGTCTCTAAACCCAAATATTAGCGAACCCAGCCATAATGTACTCTCTGGGCGGCGTGCGGGCGAGTCGGTGAAGCGATGACAAAAATTGCCGTTTCACAGATCGGCTTGTTTGCTGTGGAATCAGTAAACCCGTTAGAGTGTACATCTACTTACACCCCTATTTAGCGCAGGTAAATGTGCTTGGGTGTAACAACATTTTGTAGTTGAACAAGCCACCAACATGGTTATTGTAGCGTGAATTTTCCACTGATATGACACCCAGAAAAGGACAAACGCAAAGCACTATTGCCGAGGTTTAGACTCCGTCATCATTCCGTTTGTCATTTCGACCATGAAGAACCAATCCTCAGGAATGCCGTTCATTCTTTTTTTTTTTGTGGTTGTTGTTTGATGTGGGCGCCCTTTCTACGGCGTATCGCTGGTAGGTGATTATTTGCACAACCGGACAAGTCTCCTTTGGTTCCAGAATCGGCCGTGATATGAACAGTTTGGGCTGACAGTATGCTTGGTTGGGGTCAGTCATATCCCTAACTCACATTCCACTTTAGACGTCCCTAGCTCGCCTCCCCAGGATTGATAAAGTTGAGGTTCAAACTGCCATAATTCCACAGCGTCGCCAAGTCGCCCAAATCTTGTTCAGTGATGGCGCCAAAATTTCCATATGCTAGGGCAGGGTAAACCTCGTCCATGGGAGGTGTCACGTTGACGTATGGTGCTGGATAGCTCAGGTGTGCATCATTGAAGTACAGAGAATTCGACGCGGACTGTATGTTGCCGGACGCCGTGGAAGAAACGGAGGGGTCATAACCAGCCGATCCGTCATTTTTAAAATAATAGCCAGGGGGTGTAGGCTGCGATACCGGAACGCGATAAAATTGTGCATCACCAGGCGGAGTTGTGTAAGAGAGTTGAGAATCGGCAGGACTAGGGTTGCTCGCGAACGCGACCTCTGCCTGGCTCATACAGGGGGGCGTCAGTGCGAGTTCCTTGCCTTTCGGGCGCTTTTTTGCAGACTCGCCGGGTGACTTGGCTCTTTGTTCTGGCGGTTGGGCAATGTTTTGAGCAATCTTGGCCAATACTTCGTATGATGTTCTCGCAGTTTTGGTCGCCGTCTTGAGCCGTTTGAGCATTGACAAAGCCTTGTCAACAGCACTCAGCATATCTCTCCGTCTTGGGAGGCTGGAATCTTGGTCATGCATAAGAGCAGAGCACAGAACAGCAGCTGTGTCAAATATGCAGAAAAGCACAAAGTGGAACTTGGTGTCTCGAGGACAAATGTAGTCAAAGAAGCCGTGCAAACCGTCCAATAACCGTAGTGAGTAGTCAATGCCGTCGTCACGAATGCTCAGTTCGTCGGATAGAGATTGTTTTGTCATGGGTTTGGCCAGGTAGGGTCGAATAGGGTCAAGCATCATGGACAGGGCCATCATGTGAAGGTAATGCCGATGCAGAACAATCCACGGCCGCGACGTGTCACTGCTTGTGTCGGGATCGATGAAAGCGTAGGTCGATGGAAAGCCGTCGATCCATCTTTTAACAGTAGCTTGGTATTCTCGGACTTCGCCATGCCGAACAACATCCTTGGGTAGGCCAAAACGATTGAATAATTGTGTGATCAACTGTGACTGGAGTTTCATGTGTTGCAAAGGGGATGGTGTGTACCCTTCTAGTGTGAGACTAGGCAGGCCGACATCAATGTCCGTCCGATCTATTAGCACCGGTCTCGATAGGAGAGCGGATGTTTGCCTTGATTCGAGATGAAAAGTTAGGGCAAAAAAGTTGCGACAAATTTTGGAGGCGCGCCAATGCACTTGGACGGGCATTGAAGCCTGGGACCTCAGAAACTCACCAGTCCCAGGTGTTCAGTATACACCAGATCCTTCTACGCATCTCACGGTCAAACTCCGACATGTGACCGCTGACGGTTTCCTTATGAATACCGAGTTCCTGAGCCTCGCGGATGAGGGCGCTGAGAACATGCCAGCATTCGACAAAACGTGCCTCTGATCTGTACCAGTAGCACGAATGCAATAGAGACTGGACATTCAACAGATGGTTGTTCCCGACAGGAATAGCGCCATGAAGCTCACGGCCGGCGTTGTGGTACTTCTCAGCGAGCTTCTGAGTGCTCTGGCCAAGGTCAACCTCGAGTTTCCTTTCAAGTTGAGCGTCGGCGTGCTGGGCGGAGCAGGCGCAAACCATGAGCAGCAGACAAGTCCACTGCATACCGAGTGGGCGGTTTTCCGAGCGTAGCGACCACCAGGCCCTGTAATCTTCCAGGAACGAAGGCGGATAGATGATGTAGAAATGAAGGTTTACATGGGTGAGGAAGTTTTGGACGAGGGCATCTGCCATGTCAGGCGTCAGTATCTGGGCGCAATTTGTGGCAAGAGGAGCGGCTCCTAGGGCGCCGTGAGGCAGAATACATACCCGTGTAGGGTCTGGGAGGGAGGAGGAGCAGGGCGTTGTTGAGTTGCGGACATGATGAAGGGTCCATGTAGTACTGCCTATATGTCTTTGGGACAAGCCTGGGCTTTCTCTGGCACAAGGTCTTCTGTTAGCACCGCATGGGGAGAGACAGCGTGGCAAGCTCCAGCGCCAACAAACCGGGATATGCGACGTACGGTTGAGCTCGAGGCGAGGCCGGCAAAAAGATGTGAGGCGCTGTATCCCAAGGCCTCGAAACCATTGTCTGCGTCCTCCCAGGGATTCGAGTCCAACGACTCGGCGTCCTCGTGGCTGAGTTGCCGTTTTCGAGTGGAATCATGGCTTGTAGCTTTGTCCTGACCGTGCTGACTCTGGGCAAAGCGGCACTTGTCGGCGACTTTGCGTTTCTGGCAGTGATTGCACGGCCATTCTCGATTGCACTAGATTGAATGGTCAGACGCGACGGCTTCGTTGTTGGGTCATTGACAACTGCCAGACGGGGACTCTAAGAGGGAGTACGGGAGGGAAGGGAATTTTGTGAACTTGATCTGCCGAGCAAAGAAGAGGGGACAGTGAAGGGACAATGAGCCCGCTGCCGAAATGGCCGGCACTTGGGCAAAGCATCCATTGAGGCTGCTTGCTGATTGAGGCTGCTGGCTGCTGGCTGCTGGCTGCTGAAGCGGGACTGTGAAAATCCAAAAAAAGGGAAAAGAAGGCGAGCGACGCGATGAATACCTTTTGCTTGCGACGCTGGCACTCGGTACAGGCCGACCAGTGATGCTTGATTTCCTTGGAGATGTCCTTGTCTCCCATGGCAGACAAAATGGCGGCAATGGTCGGGATGGTCGCGATGGCGATGATCTGATCAAAGGACGAGCAGACGGATGATTTGACGAGACGCCGATCAAGGCTTGCTCGATGGTCGACGGTTTGCTGCTGCATCCATCAATTGACAGTACGCAATACGCAATATCAACCAAGGTACCCGGGCACCGACCTGCATGTAGGTTTTGTAAAAGATCTCGGTGCTGATTAGTAGTCGGCGGTACCTAACCAGGACTGCGCCGCGACATCCGGAACTAGTAGTCTCGCTGTCACCTCCGGCTCAGATGTCATCCAATGTTGTCTGCTTGCGTTGATTGGTCAGATTCCCCCCCGCCGACAACGGGGATAGCGTTAGCCTAACCCGGCCCTTGTCAGTTCTACCTCCATGTCTGCACGCCGCAGAAGTTATTCTCACCATCGTCTCCATCATGACCGCCAAGTCCGTTCTTGGGGCCGTATTGTCTTGTCTGCGTCTGGTCTGCGACTCCTCCGACGCCTCCCAACTCTCTCCAGCGCCTCTGACGCCTCTGCCGCCGCCTTCAAAGTCTTTCGGACATTAACCCGCGGATACGTGTATTGCCGGCTACTGCTCCATACCGACCACCACGAGCCGCCTGACCCGCAAGCGTTGGCCGGTGGCGCACCCCCATGCTCTCTCCGACTTGGAGTCCCAGACATCTTGTCGATGGCACTCCGTGCTCCGTCTTCAGCATTGGCTGGGTCGTTGAAGCTCTGGAGGCCCCAGCCACGGTGTACTGAGAACGTCAATGTCCATGAGTGCCGTGCAGGATCCCGAGGTCCAGATGACCACGTCGTCCCAAGAAAATGAAGAATGAACTCGAGTCAATCAGTCAAGCAAAATCACCGCGACGTTTGAACGTTTGAACCAGTCGACGACGGCTTCCAAGGGCCGCAGAAAGCAAGCTGAATCCGCTGTGGCCGTTCCCGTCACATATCAGAGAACTTTTGTTTCTGCTGGCGCTGTCCTGTCCTGTCTGTGTCTGTGTCTGTGTAATGCAGGCGCGCGAGCTCTCGTCACTGGTTCAATTCAAGTCGTCCACGCGCGCCGACTAGGTCATCCATGCTCTCTCGTCTTGGACAATGCTTCGTGTAACAGGCTTACGAATGGAATACGGAGTAACTACTCCGTATGTTCCCAGAATCCTAGTACTCTGTACTGCGGAGTGCTCCGTAGAATGGGAGCTTGCTTATGAGAGCCTCCATTGCTCATCATTTCAAACCCAAGTACGGAGTAGTTGCCAGTTAGTCTCTTTCGTATGACTTCCAAGGTCTGCCCACTCACGTAGGCTACAGTAACCGGCATCGTTTCTACAACGTGTTTTTTGCCGAAAGACGATCATTTCACCATGGCTCTTATAGTTGTCGTCAGGACCTCGTCCTCGTCCTTGGATTGCCTGCCGAGGACTCCCAAGGTTCTGTGAAGGCACAGAGAGCAGGGGGAAGTCCCATCTGCGGCGCATCTATGCGCTGCCAACAGCGAATAAACCGTCCAACTATCCGTCCTCTCGGCGACCATTCCTCGGGCGCGCTCTCTCGGCCTTGTCAGGTTGTGCCCAGTACGACCGTACGTACAGTGAGGACAAGACAATTATCAATCCACAAGTTCAACGGTCTCACGGTCCACCGCAGGGCCATTCATGCCCCAAGTAAGGTCTGACGACAAACATTCACTTCCGGGTGTAGAAGCCACTGGCACTGATGCTGTCAATCTTCAACTGTCGTCTCCTTCGCCGTGAGACCCTGCTGAGTGACGCTGGCCGTTCTTGAGCTCCATGCGATTGTGCGTTCCGGCATCCACTTGAGGTTGCTAGCCACTTCCGCGGCGCCTTCTCGTCGATCGCTGCGTTTGGCCACCAAGGCCCAAGTCAGTCAGTCGCATGCCTATGCCTCCCAGGTTGTGTGTCGTCTCCTACTTCCCACAGGCTGGCCAAACAGTAATGAGCATGGATCCCGAGCCTCCCTGCCGGCTTTCCGGCCTGCCCTGAAGTATTGGCTAGGAGAGGACCAGCCAACTACACTGTTGTCACTACTAGTAATAGCCGTCAGATGTGATAGTATAAGGGCATGCTGACTGAACAATCGGTATGCCCACTTCGGATCATGACTGACACACGGTGCCGGGAACCAGAAACCAATACATGAACTCACACCACTGGTAAGTTGGTATTCCACCACGGAGTACTGCTTCAGTCGCGGTCTGCTCAAGTGCCAGAGGCAACAATAGGAACTACGCCACAATTCCATTCTGCGGGAACGAAATTGGCCATGTTTCTCCAAATAGACATGGGGAGACCCAATCTTGACTTAACGTTCGCTTGGTGTTGTGACTCCAACAGACCCTGGTTGGGGTCCGGAGAGGACCAGGCAGACAGACAGATCCCTTCTTCCACTGTCGCAGGACGGAACTACGACTACGACGGAGCACTTGGTGCCGCTGAATGTACGTGTTGATTGATCAGGGGCCATTGGCCGCTTGCTTTAGCCGCCCAAAGGTCATACATGGTAAGACAGTCCGTAACGTCGGGAGGGACATATGTCCTTGATTACTTATCATTCACAGATTGCGGAGGAACATGTCTTAGTTACTCCGCACTGAAGCTTTGAACGCTGTTTCAGCCGCAGCCTGCCCCCAGGAGCTGATGCTGGAATACTTGTACTCATACGTACATTGGATCCGCTCCCGAGTCGCACGAGGGACATCTGCAAACGCGGTTGCGTCACGGAAAATTGGGAATCCGTTGCTGGAAAACGCGGTGCAATGCTTTAAATATGACATGTCTTGTGTATCTCCAGTGAGATGTCTATTGCTACATGGATGACATACTGGCCATGCCGCGCTGTAGCGGGAGCTCAAGGTAAACTGAACAGATACGTTGCAAAGGGAAGATGCAGATGTTGTCCTCTAAGACCTTGGTCTTGTAGAAGAACTGACATGTCCGTATGCCAATAGAACCTATGGTTGCTCGCTCACACTGCATATTCCATGCACCCGCAATAGCCTGTACACCATTGCGGCTTGGTTCCATGACATGGGCTGGCGTGGTGACGTTGCGGTTCCAGTGGATGAGAACGAAGTCACAACGGCATGGTTAATCCAGAAGATTCACTCCGTATGCTGAGAACGCTACACCGTGTGTAGGCGTTCTCGAAAACTGATAAGTGAGGCATCTTGCCCACTCAGTCAGTGTTTTGTCGCCCTAGGTCACGTCTTACTCGCCAAACTCGAGATCCGACGGGACGTTTCTGGTTTCCCTCAAGGATTTCTATCCAGGGTACGGTAGATGTCACGGCGTGCTCAGTCCTCCTTCGTTGTGTCGTCTCTTGTTCTGCTTCATCTTCGCTTGTCTCTTCGTCTGTTATGTGGACTTCCTTGTCTGTCAGCTCGTCTTGAGAGGATTTGGCAAAGAGGTCTTCAGTATAAGCCCAATGGGGAGTGTCAAATCTCCCGTGGACAAAGACAATGTCCCTTCCCTCTATTTTGATTTTCTCAAGGCTTGCGTAGGGCGTCGGCGTGATGACATGTAGACATTTGCGTTTCATGTCTATCCCTCGAATAAGAGCAAGCCCGATTGTTTTGCAGTATCGAGGGTCGAGCGTTGCGTCATTGGTGTTTGAAATAAACGGTAAGCCTTCCTTCGTTCTAGTCACTGGCACTTGCCAAATTTTCGTGTTGTCATGTTCAACAGTGATTTCGGGTGTCATCACAAGCTGCTGGAAGGCTTTGGGCTCTTCAATTTCGACTATGGCCAGTATTGACCCGTTGATCGAAGCCGCTAGAAGCTCGGGAGTACACTGGTAGTCATAAGATATGATCCCAAGAAGCCCACTATTTCTGCCATGGTAAGAAACCACCAAGGGTCTCGTGGACGTAATAGCATGGGCGGCCCAAGTGAGCCGCCGCAGTTGCAACGACTTGTCCTTGATATCAATATGAGAATGATAGTATGACATCATTTGCATTGATCGAAAATGAGCAGCAGTTCGGGAAGTGAACTCTGACGGTTGTGAAGGAAGCACGCTGAACGAGTTCCTTGTCGCGCTCTTCAACACATCCACAACGTCGGCAGGCCCATCTTGTGACATGTATATGACTTCAGCAGGACGGATCCTCGTTATCAGCTCCACAAGGAGGTCTAAACCCGTGCCCAGAATCCAACCTGGGGTGTTTATTATAAGTGGGTAGGTCCGAAGCGACCTTTGGTACGTGTTGTATAGGTCGATGGCGCACGAGATGAAAAGACTAGGTGCCGAGGCTGGTGTCACAGACGCCAAAGAGTGGCTTCTCAGAATAGTATTTGACGGATCGTCGAAGGCGGCGTGGGTAAACGGGACGCCAAAGTTCGGATTTGAGACGCATACGAGTGATAGTGTACCAGGTGGAGCATATTCGGGTTGTCCGGGGTCAAGATCAAGCACTGCCACTCGTTTCACAGGACTCTCACCATTTGATAAAGATGTCAAAAGGCGGTTTGTTAGCAGCCTTGAGAAGGTTGACTTGCCTGTGGATTTTGGGCCGCAAACAAGAGTTGTGCGATGGCTTGTCCGTGAAGGCGGCAGCAAGGACGCCAGCTTCTTATTCCATTCCGGTGGCGAGACCAGCTCCTGAATGACGCATCTCCTAGGCGCATCTAAAGAGGATCCAATCTGGAAATCCGTCAGCGATATCACTTGCGCCGCGGCTCATGTCGACACATACAAATTGGAACGTCTGCCCGCTAGTTGCAATTCCATCAGCGGCCTCACTTGGCTCATTCCATATTCTCCTGAACAGAGGTGAAAGACGACCCAATTTTCTCAAGTTGTTCAGCTCAGGATCATTATGCAATTCTAGTCGAGTGTCTTGAGTGGTTCGAACCACTGGGAGAGCCACGCAGTGCGGAGCAAAAACCCAAAATATGTCCTCGGCAGCACGCAAAGTTGCCCCTGCCAGCGTGAGTTCGCCATCTACTACTCTGATTCCAAAACTGCCCAAAATGACAAACCTCTATGGCCGCTTAGCAAGTATATCTCAGAACCGTGTGGCTCAGTAGCATACCTCATTCTCATCCAGCCTAAGCTCCACCACCGCCCCTGCTTTTGTTTGACAATTGCTACTATTCAAATGGAACGAAGAATAATTGACGACAGTAGGGGATGTGCCAGAGGCAGAAGGTTTAATGACTTCTGGAGCCTGGTTGTCCGTTATTTTTCTTCGAGGTTGTCAGAGGGAAGTCGTCAAAACAAGGCAGTTTGTGTGAAGCTCACTCAACTGATTTTAAGCCATCCGCTGCTTCGGGTCGATGGCCATCACTTCGCCGTGGAGCACTCTCTTGAGAACACTTATTGGGAGAACGAGTAGCTTTCCCATCAGGCCTGAGAGCCTGCAGAGCACTGAAAGAGTTCGTATCTGGCGCCAATGACTTCGCATGGCTCGCGGGCTCAGTAGCTTGGGTTCGGGCCGCAGATGCAGCTTGCCGTCGGCGAGCAGCAATTGCACTAACAGCGCTTACCGGAGCTAGAACAAAGAGAAACTTAGCTTAGGTAAATTGTACTTAGCGAATATCTCTGATCCTTCAAGAAGATAAGAGGAAGAGGGTTGGGACCATGTGGTTCGTACCCTGGGGAGGGCCTTGGCTATCTAGCTTGCGCCGCTTACTAGATGACATGCCTCGGTCGCGCAATCAAGGAAAGCTCCGAACAGACCGTATCACTGTACTTTCAGATGTATAAGGGGGCCAAAGTGCCTTTTCGCCGCGGGAAAATTCGAAACGACTTGGGAGACGAGCGTGCGACGGATGAGGTGAAGTTTCTTATCGATAAGAGGAGACAAGTGAGGCACCCTGCCACTTGCTCACCCTGCGGCGCCCAGTGCCAAAGTGGGGTCTCGCGCAAGGCCGTCGCCAAAATTTCGCAGCTTTCGCAACCTCACGCTTCCTCAACCGACCCCAACACACTTGGGATCCAAGCCAATCGCGCTCTCGCAACAGCAAATTGAGTGCGTACTGCTCGCCTACAATGGCACCCAAGCAATCTTTCAAAGTACACTCTTTGAACCGGCTCATCGAGGATACGAACAAAGGCCTCAGTGCTGAAGCCCACTACAACAAGCGGCGCGCCAATAAGTCGACAGCTTCGATCAAGAAGGAACCTGGCGCCATTGATAGGGCCATCTTTGGCAACAACTCCGAGGACGATGAGAGCGACGGTAGCAGCAGTGGAAGCAGTGACGAAGACGGCTCCGACTTTTTGCAGAAGCTTCAAGCTACAAAAACATCCACTGCTATAGCTCCCGTGAGGCCCGCCAAGAAGCCCTCCAAGAAAGACGAGATAGCCGACAGCGACTATGAGCGCCAGTCAAACTTCAAGAAGGCCGCGCCCGTCAAATCAAAGCAACCTGGGCAGCCCAAGACTTCTTCATCGGATGACTCGAGCAGTGAATCCGAGTCTGAGTCTGAGCCTGGGCTGAAGTCAACCCAAGGTGAACAGAAAGTGAGAGCAAACGGAGCGCCCTTGAAAATCGTTGCTCCCTCCAGCTCATCCAGCTCCGACTCCAGCTCCGGTTCCGATTCAGCAGAGGACGAAGGGGCTACAAGCAGCAGTGATGATTCGCGAGCTAAGAAAGCCGCTGTGACAAAAAGCAAAGACACAATGTCTTCGGACGAAGAGTCTGGCAATAGTGCCAGTGATTCTGACAGTGGTAACGAAAGCGAACCAGCACTTTCTACGAAATCCAAGCCGGGGACAACGTCCGCCAATGGCACTTCGACAAATACCACCTCGGAGACAAGCTCCAGCGATGAAGGTACCGAGAACCAGAACGAGACGGTCACCGAGACAAAACCAATCGCTACGGGGAAGCCAGCTCCCGATAAGCCGTCAGATAATTCTTCATCTGAAGACTCGAGCGAGGAGGACGCGGACGTGTCCATGCATATTGCTGATCGTGAACGTGGTCATCAGGCAACTCTTCCAGATTTTATCGCTCCGGACTTTGTCCTGCGCAAAAGTGACGACGGGGCCAACGGACAGGACGTCGCTCGCATTTGCAACCAGGCCAATTTGCAAGGAAAACAAGTTTGGTACTTCACAGTGCCAGCCAACGTGCCCATCTCGGTTGTACAGAATATGGAGATTCCTATGAACCAATCTCAAACGGGAAATAGCATCTTCTCACACGGTGGCGAAGATTATGGCATTTCTGTCGACAGCATGACTCCAAAAAGCTCTATCCAAATTCTAATCCCTTCTTCTGACGGAGCTCGATATCAATCCGGTAAGACTTCTTTGAGGTATCGCTGTTCTTGTCCTGCAGGCATGGCTAACCGATGTTTCTGTTCAGCCTCCCGATCAATCGATCAAGTACTGCAAGTTAAAAAAATCACTCAACTTGGTCAAGCTTCCGCGACGGCGTCTTCCGTGGGCCCAGCTCCGAAGCCACCGCCTCGACAACAACCAGAGGGTCTAAAAGCCCGATACAAACCCTTTGGGGTCAACAGTCCCATGGGTCAGATTGGTGTGGATCTATCCTTCGAGGTGGAAAATGACACAGAGATGGCAGGTGCTCCCGCCCAGGGCAGCACGCAGAGCAAGTCGGACAAGAAGGAGAAGAGGAAGAATCAGAAGGGAAAGGGGCAGTCTGAGGCTCCAAGCAAGGGCAAAAGAAAGCACATCTCTTCTGAGGACGACGCGGTCGCTGCAGCAGAACAGCTTATGGAGGAGAATCTGTCGGCAGAAACCAAGTCCAAGAAGCAGAAGACTGAGCGCTCTGGGAGTCCAGATCTCGGATCGGACGCGCCGTCGTCGTCGGCTGTCTCGAAGAAACAGAGGCTTTTCGTCCCCCCGGCCATTCCGGCATCAACGCCGTCGTCCAAGTCCAAGTCGAGCAAGTCCAAGCCCGAGACGCCGGCGTCAAAGCCACGTGAAACGGCAGTTCCTGTCCCCCAAATCCCGGGCTCCGCCCAACCCAAGGTTTCCCCCGTCCCGATCCCTCAACCTGGCGTGACGTCCACGCCGCTCACGAGCAAATCCGCCAAGAAGTCGAAGAAGAAGACGAAAACGCCGGATGTCACAGCAGAAACACAGAGTCCAACATCAAGCACACAGCCTGCAGGCAAAACCAGCAGGAACAAGGTGACTCCTGTACCAATGCCAAAGCTCCACACGACAGGTTAGGAACCTCGCTTCGGGTCTAGACAAGATGTCTACGGGATCAAGAAATTCCGGGCACCGTGATTGGGATACTTGTCTCTGCTGGTAGAGCTGGCAGAGCTGGTTCCCGAGAGAAAGGAATGTGCCGCATGGTTTCTTCCTTGACCAAGGGAACAGACGATTGGCATAAAAATGAGAGTGGTCGGCTATATCGCTGCACAGCTTCGGTGCTTGGCGTTTTAAGGATACAGACTACGTCTGACAACGTGTTGATTTTTGATAATGATTCCACTTTGATCTTTTTTTTCTTTCGCCCTTTATTTTCTCGTCTTGGCTTTTTATACCAACCAGAAGGAACAGCATTCGGGGTCTGAGATGAAGGAAGGGGGTTGCGGATACTTCGCAGACAGGTGCAGCAGCAGAGCTGGAGTGGCTGCGCCAGGACTGAGGTCAAGGTACTTAAGTAGTCAAAGCAGGCAAGGCGGATAGTAGTCGTGCCCTCGAGGATAGTTTTATTCACGGCTCTTGATTTGTGGCTGCCACCGCTCAAGGAGGCCGGACATGCAGACGTGTGTTGTGTGCTTTGAGAGCGGCGACGACGACTCGGCCGCGTTTCAAGACACGATTTCTCTATCAAGATGAAACGTACTCCGCACTCTGGCCACGTAAGACGTGTACATCATCGACCAGGAAGAGGTCGCAGCAGCGACGTGAGCCCGAGTCTCGTCGCAGTCAGCAGTGAGTGAGTGGCCCACGCAAGTTGCTGCGCCCGAGCTCGCCAAGAATGAGGGCGGGGAAATGATAAATAAATAAGAAGCCACAGCACAAAAAAAAAAGCCCACAAATAGAACAAGATGCATGTGCATGCGCGTACGAACCATCTACATGTACGGAGTAGTCATGTACGCGTGTGTGGTTGCAGGGAAAGCTGCGGCGCGCTCCGTAAAATCTTTTGGGCGCCGCGAGTGCCTGCGCGACGCAACCTGCAAGACTTTGGTGCCGACATTTCCACGAAACGGGCGCATCATCATGAGCAAGCCACGCCTGCTCTCCCCTCCTCACCTTCCTCACCTCAGCAAGCACGACGTGCGACGTCCACGGTGGCGCTCCGTACCTTGCATCGAGTCCCGTTCGTGACCGGGGTGACGGCCAGCACGGACCGACCTATCTGGCTGCACTGAGCAGCAGCAGCACATGTTTGTGTACTTGCATGCATCTAAGTACTCCGTACGGAGTACTTAAATTAAGTACCTACACGACCGTCGCCAAGCGTCGGGAGTCCGTACCAAGCACGTACATTATGTGCTCCGTCGTGCCGGCTTTTTTGTGAGTTGTACTCTGAGTGCGTTCTCGGTTCTCTGTGACCACTGACTACCAGGCCAAGGCTGTATCAACCTGTCGTGAATACTTACTTAAGTAAGCTAAATACTTTAAGTACTTAAGTACTTAGTAGGAAGAGAGAAAGAGGCAGCCCAGAGGGCGAAACGGAAAACGACTCAGTACCAGGCACTTGATGTACTCAAGGTACCGGGGTACTTACTCCGTACGTGAGTACTTGGACATCGCTGATTCGGGTCGCTGCCGCATGGCTTGGCACATGTGCATGCATAAACATGCACGCAGAGGGGCCGGGCGAGGCGAGGGGAGAAGAAACAACAACAATAATAACGTCGACAATAGTAGTTAATAACAACAGTCATCCCAACGACGTTGGGTCTTGACTCTTGACGATGCCCACACGAGTCCAGAGGGTCCAGGCGCCCAGACACGACTCCCTCCCCCTGGCTTGCGTCGGTGCTCGCCGAGAAGCAAGAGGCCGGCACGATCAATTGATACTGGGGAGGGAGCACCGCATGAGTACGGGGCCAGTTCGCTGCAGGTGTGCGTTATTAATATCAATCGATGCGCCGGGCAGACATGGGCGTTGATGCCTCTTTTTTTTTTTTTTTCCTCGTTTTGTTTTGCCCAGAAATGGGGTTCCGTCTGCCCTGGGCCCTGGCCCGGGCTGAGCTGGGCTGGGCTGGGTGGGGGCCTTGTTCACGATTGCGGACGGAGCCCTGGGGCCTGTACTCCGTACGGAGGACCATATTACAAGAGTCAATTTTTTTTTTGTGCGTGCATGTGCGTAGGATATATCATCCAGCGCAAAGCCCCCATCACTTGAGAAAATGTAGGCCAGTTCCTTTTGCCCTGGTTTGATGGGGCGAAGCGTTCTAATTGTCAACCGTTTGTCAGCTTTATTATGATGTTGTATCACAGGGTATTGCTGCTTGATGGCAAGGAGAGTGTAGATGACCCGACTATTGCTCGCCTACCTGAGCTGACCTAACTATTGTAGTTGACCTGACCTAACTATTGCTATAGGGGGACAAGGGGGCATAATAGATTTTAATTAGTTAAATTTTCTTTAAGGAATTTATTCTTAGTAGAGTAAAAGATAGAGTAAAATAAGTTTTAATTAGGCAGAAAATTATTATAGAATGTAATTAAATTATATAAAATATTTATAAGAAGTAAGTCTAGAAATTTTAATATATTAGCTATAGCTCTCTCTTAAATTTTTTTTTCTTTCTACTTTACTTTCTTATTAAACTAAAGCTATACTATTAAAATAATATTATATTATAGAGAATTTATAAGTATTCTCTTTAGAATTTATTCTAAATATACTTAGAATTAACTTTAATTAAATTCTAAACTAGAAAGTATTTTAGTAGTATATAAGTAGAGAGAGAGGCAGGCATTAGCTTAGTCTCTCTAACTATAAATTTAATATATAACTATTCTTAGTAGAGTAAAAAATAGAGCAAAATAAGTTCTAATTAGGCAGAAAATTATTATAGAATGTAATTAAATTATATAGAATATTTATAAGAAGTAAGTCTAGAAATTTTAATATATTAGCTATAGCTCTCTCTTAAATTTTTTTTTCTTTCTACTTTACTTTCTTATTAAACTAAAGCTATACTATTAAAATAATATTATATTATAGAGAATTTATAAGTATTCTCTTTAGAATTCTTTAGAATTTATTCTAAATACACTTAGAATTAACTCTAATTAAATTCTAAACTAGAAAGCATTTTAGTAGTATATAAGCAGAGAGAAAGGCAGGCGTTAGCCTAGTCTCTTTAACTATAAATTTAATATATAGAGTAATTTTATTATTAAAGTTAGTAAGATTTTTTGCTATATAAATATAGAGGACAGCTATATATATTATATTATAAGTTAGAATTTAATTAAAATTAATTATTATTTAATTTAGGTTTAATACTAATACTTTATAGAATATATACTTTTCTTTAACTTATTTATTAAAGAAATATTTTATTATAGTATATAGAGCAGAGGTATTATAGTTAAGTGCTAATGCTCTCTCTTTTACTGCTAATAACTAGGCAGCTGTTTATATATTAATTAATAATTAATTTATATTAAATTTTAACTTTATACTAATTAACTTATATATAGAGTTCTACTAAAACTTAAAGAAACTAGTACTTAGTAAAAATATAAATCTCTATATATCTATAAAGTTATCTTAAAATTACTAGACATTAGTTAAGCCTAAAGTGCTTTATAAAGAGAATAGTAAAGTAAGTAATTTATAATTAAATTATAATTTATTCTAGCTAGATTTTAATAGAATTTTATAATAGTTTAATATTAATACTATATAAGTTACTACTTACTTTATAGAAGGCATAAAGTGTAACTATTATAATATATAGTTAGGCTCTTACTTACTACTAACTACTAAAATAGCAGAAAGACTACTAAGTTTAGAATTAATACTACTACTTAAAAGCAGGCAAAAAAGCTATAGTATATTATAAGTAGTATTTAGAACTAATTTAGAATTAATTATTACTAAATTCTAACTATCTCTAGATATAAAATCTTTCTAAAGTAAAATTAACTTAAGAAATATTATTAATAAGACTTATCTATATACTTCTCCTCCTAGTAATATAAATAGAAAGCTTATTAGTAGTACTTATAATAGTATTTTATAACTTAGTAAATTTTTTTTTTAAAAAAAAAATGGCATTATAAAATAAATAAATACTCTAGGAATATTACTAGTTTTTTTTAGTTAATAAAATAAAATTTCTATTTAAAGTATAAATATTTAATTAAACTCTTATAATTATAATTAAATTTAGTAAAATAAATTTATTATTTAATATATAACTATATATAAATTTAGTAAAATAAATTTATTATTTAATATATAACTATATATAAATTTAGTAAAATAAATTTATTATTTAATATATTAAACTCTTATAACTATATATAAATCTAGTAAAGTAAATTTACTATTTATTATATAAGTATTTAATAAAACTATTATAGTTATATAAGTATTAGTTTTAATATACTTTTAAAGTTATAGACTATAAATTTAAGAAGAGTAAAACTTACTTTATAGTAAAAAAAAATTATACTAATAATAGAAAATACATAAAATATAAGTATAATTATAAAGAAATAGCAGAAAATTATAGTAAAATAGCAGAAAATTAAGGGAAAAAAATAGAATTTATATCTAAATTATCTACTATATTATTTATATCTATATTTAAAATATTTTATTAAGGCAACTAGAGTTATAATTATAGAAATACTAGTTGTCTTTATAGTAAATTCTAGTTATTTTCTCTTGCAATTTAAGCTTATATCTTTAAAGTTTCTAACTCTAATTAATAAAATAAAGTTAGTAGATATATAATTATTAAACTAAGAAAATACTATACTATACTTTTTGTAGCCTCCTAGTTTATAAATCTACTTTATAACTTAATATCTTAATATAATAATAGAATTTATAAGTAACACTTAGCAGCATCTTATTATAATAAATCCTAATTATATATTTAACAAGCTATAATTATATAATATAAAGAGATATATCTACTAGTCTATCTATATAATGCCTTATATAATATTTTAATAGTATTAGTTATAGCTAGTAGAGAATTCTAATCTTAAGATAGTATTAATAATATATTACAGTA